AGGCTGAGGAGATTGCACCAGCCCTGACTATGTCCACTGCACAGGGGTCAGCAAGGAAGGCCGAGGGTGGGGAGGGCACATCGCCTGTCTGATGAACTCAGGATCTGATGAACTCGTGGGACGGTGCAGCAGCCCCAGTGCCGAACGGGATGTACCCCCTTGGTGCACGGCCTGCAGAGAAAGAGGGGCTGCTTGCGTGGGATTTGGAGAAAGAGGTGCTGCTTGTGCGAGATTTGTGTTCAAACAAGTGGCATCGGCACTCAGGAAGGACTGCAGGGCTGTGGATTTGGGGGGCAGGGAGCAGAAACCCCAGGTGGAGTGAGCTCAGATCTACAGCAGCTCCCAAGCCAAGACCAAAAGATGCCCTTACTGGTGAAAGGCAGGGCAGGAGGCCAGTAAAATCTTCTAGAAAGAAAACAAGAACTGAGATCCAGTTGCTGGGCTGCATTACTTTGAACAAGGTCACAGTCAGCTTCTGTACCAATCCCACCTCCCACCTCTGACTCCCTGGGCTGCTGGGCCCCAAGGGGAAACCCCGTGTCACATGGGCCTCTAAAGCCCCGAGGCTGGCATCTGGTGGGCACAGGCTGGTGGCTTGAGGACTGCGTTTCCCCAATGCCATACAGCCCAGAGACTAAAGGGGACCCCGGGCCTAGGAAAGATTGGGGGGCTATGCCACACACATCTTATTCCTCCTAAAAATCCACGCTGCAGTCTGCAGCGGAGGTGCCCTGTAGCCAGGGAGCAGGGGCCAAGCTTGCCAGCGGTGCCCAGATGTAACTGGCCGAAACAGGAAATCTCCACTCAGAAGATGAACAAGTCGGACAAGTGCTCCTCTGAAGAGCCGCGCTCTGAGAAACGCAGACCCACGGGGGAAAGAGTGCGTCACTGAGGCAGGGATGAGTCACTGTCGCTTAATTCAGCATGGAGGGGAGAGAGGGAAGCAGAAGGAGAGGGAGGGGCGAGAGTGGATAAGGGAGGCTGATGAGACTTACAGAAGTGTCCCTTAGTTTTTGACCAAGAGTGTGGGGACAAAGAGTTTGGGGGGGAGATGATCCCTGGGGTACAGAAAGGAGTCAGGTGGGGTCGGGGGTAGGGGAGGGGGTAAGGAACAGGTTGCTAGTGGGACCAATGCCACCGGAAACTTCTGGAAGGGCAGGAGAACATTCGGAATGGAACCACCACAGATTCCGCAAACCACCCCCCCCCGCCCCGTATCCCCCCTCTCGAGATGTCACACTCCTGCCTCTCCTCTCCCCCTTCCTTAGATGCTGGCTTTTGCTGGCTGGAAGCCGCTCTGCTTTACAAAATTTCACTGCGCCCCCTGCTGGCTTGTCCAGGCTCAGCAAGGGCAGCTCCGAGAGAGAGGCTCTCCGAGAGATCCTGCTGGCCAATGAGGCATGAGGCAGCTCTCAGACCGACCCGCCAACAGGTGCTTACGTCACCCCGCCTCTCCGCTCCAAGGGCACAGCCTGGAGGGGCAACCCATAGAAGGGGGTGATATCTATCACGGCTGCTGGGATCTCAACAGCCTCATGCCCCAGCTTCCTGACCCCAGCCCCAAGAGTAGCCTGTAGCAAGCAACTCGAGCCCCCCACCCCACATCTGTGCCCCCCACCCCACATCAGGCAACAGCAGCAGCGGCGGCAACAACCCCCACAGACCCCAGTCTCAGGCACCCAAACCAGAGGAGAGGCAGAGCTGCAGTTTCATGGTCCCCGTTTCCACCCCCGCCCCCGGTCATCTCCTTGGACCCCCAGGTTCCACCATCCACAGTGGAAGTGTTCAGGCTCTGGGCTGAAGGGATCAGAGACTTTTGTGGGGACAGCGCCAATACTGAGGGGACTCCGGCTCAGATACATCCTCCCCCCCGCACCCCCTCCTCGCTTTACCACAGGGGTTTCATCCTGGCAACTACAAACGCCCTCTGAGTGACACAGGATGAAATCTGGCTAGGAGCTGGCCCTATTGTGCTGGTGGCGACAGTAATCAGACACAAAACACACCACTTGTCTCTTGGTTTTGGTTTCTCAGGGGCTACTCCTGGCTCTGCAGTGCTTAGAGGACTGTAGGGGATGCCTGGGATTGAACTTGAGTTGGCCATGTGAAAGCACTTTATCCTCTGCACTCTCCCTCTGGCCCCAACATACCACTTGTCTCAAGGGACCCTGTCACCTTCAGGTCAGACCTCCCAGTGTTCACCTTGGTGAGGCAGGGGAGACAAAGGAGTGAGGCATGCATGGACCCTGTGGGGGCGTCCCTCCACACCCCGGCTCAGGGTGCATCCTCAGGGCAGGTGTCCCAGGCCACTGTCACCTATTCAGGGAGGTGGGACTAAGTGTTCTCTCTGCCACCACCAGCCCCATCCTACTGGTTGCCCCGTTTTCTCATACTGTGGTCTATGCGATTTTCACCCCACCTGGAATATCCTGGGGGTCCACACAGACCCTGTTGAGAAACCCTGGTGTAGTTGCTACTTCTGGAGAAACGTTGGCGCAGATGGCTCACTCCCTGACCCACATAGATGGCTGTGGGCCCTTTTCTGTCTTCTGGCTAACAGGGAGCTAGACCAGAGCTAATCCTAAATCAGCTCTCACACCTCTACTGGGACTGGGGTCAGGGTCTCCACCCTATCAGGCCAGTCTGGAGGGTGGAAACCCTCCATCAGTCATTATCATTTTTGGTTTTCGGAGTTGTCATACCTGGTGGTGTCAGGGATTATTCCTAGCTCTGTGCTCAAGGATCACTGCTGGAGGGGCTTGGGGAACCATATGGGGTGCCAGGGATCAAACCCAGGCTGGCTGCATGGAAGGCAAGCACCTTACCCACTGGACTGTGGATCCAGCACCCCTACCCCACACCTCCATCTTCAGTTTCCGATGTGCATGTATGCACCCTGAGGCCTCCTCATTGGGGCCCACCAGAGCGTAGCCCCCTCCCACCAGGCCCCCCGATGGGTGGAGGTGTACCTGGTACTGGCCCCTGACAGGTGAGCTTAGCGTCCGGTGTGGCAGGTGAACAGTGGGGACCAGAGTTTATTTCATATGCGATCTGGGTCCATTGAAGGGGACTGTACCCAAATCTGACAGGCAAAGTGTCAGGGGCTTGCATGCCACAGGAAGGGACTTCTCCCACCTCTGGGCTCTAGAGTCCAAGCTGAGGGCCGGGTCCCACGCAGACCACCCGTGCTGGGCTGCAAACAAACCCAGCTTTCCCATCACCCCTACACAGGGAGCTCTGTGTGTGTAGGGGAGGTGTCTCTTTCAGGGACATGAATCCCACCTGTGCAGACCCCAGCCTCTGACCTCATCACCTTGGCCTCAAAGCAACCCCTCAGACTCCAGGGGATGGGCACCTGAACTGGAGCGGGGGACAAATACCCACACCCCCATTATCTCAGCCACCGCCCCACCTGCATTCACTTAGGTCCATCTGTAGCGGCTGTTCTGTTCCCGAGTTGTTTGTCTATTTGGGCACCAGAATCACACTCTTTTCATTAGAGGGTTTATATTATGTTTTGATGGCTGGAATGGCTGGCCCTCGTCAGTGCTTCATTTTCAATGGTTTCCTGGCTATTTTTGTATGTTTGCTTTTCTCTGTGAACAATAGCCCGCGATGTTTCTATTGGAACTGCAGTGAATTTGTAAATTAACTTAGGGAAACTGACATTTTGATAATATTGAGTCATCCCAGGCAAAGGACAAGATGTCTATATCTGCTCGAGTCCTTTTTGTTCAGTTTTTAGGAGCCTTTTCAACATTGGTCTGGTTTGGTACATTCCTTGTTAAGTTTATTCTGGATAATTTCATCTGGGGACAGTGGCACGTGGAGTTGGCGGCTGTTGTCATCTCTCCGGACTCGTGTTCTCTGACCGGAAGCCTCACAGAGACCCCAAGTTGGTCTCATTGTTGATTCTGGGTTCTCATTTTCTGGGGGGTTCACTCCTGGCTCCCAGGAAGGGGGTAGTGGTGTTGTGGGTGCTCTTTGGCCTGGCCATTTTGAAAGGAGACCGTTGTTAAGAAACAAATTTGCCGGGGACAGCAGGTAAGGCATTTGCCTTGAACGCAGCCAACCTGGGTTCAATTCCCAGCATCCCCTATGGTCCCCTGAGCACCACCAGGAGTAATTTATGAGTGCAAAACCAGGATTATTCTTTGTGTATCCCCGGGCATGACCCAAAAAGCAAAAAAAAAAAAAAAGAAATTTGCAGTTTTCTGAGTGGAGGGTCCCCCAGAGTTGGCCGCTCCCCCAGAGTTGGCCTGGCAGGTCAGTCAGGCGAGACTGGGCTACATAGACTCCAGACTGAGCCAAGTGCAGACACAGATGCTCAAAGACTTTTGTCCCTGGATGGAGATGCTCCTTTGCAAAACAAACACTCAGCACCTCCAGCACCGCGGGATCCCAGCCACTGTCCCCCACTCCAGGAACTCTGCCAGTGAAGGTGCTAGAAAGCCTCTCAAGCCAGGGACAGAGAGAAGGAGATCGGAAGAGCAGCAGAGCCAGGCCGACTTCTAGCCCTCTCCTCTTCTGAGCAGCCCCTTTTCTTATAAAAAGCAAAACAACCTGCATCCCAGGGAAGGTGAGAAACTGGGTCTGGAGCTGAGACAGTATCTTCAACACATGGCCCACCAAATCACCATGTGGCTGGCCTGGTGTTCCCGGCACCACAGGGACAGAGCAACACCAAAACCCAGGCACCCTGGGGCTCTTGCATGAACCCCACGTTGGCTGACACATTTGTGGAGCCCCCTGAGCACTGTTTGGGAGACACCAATAAAAAGAAATGGACCCAGAGAGTAGAGGTGAGCTGCCCAAGCTCTTGGTGCCCGCCCACAAAGCCGAGTGAATCCCCCAAAGGACAGATCAGCTACATACACACGCACATACGTTTGTTTGGTCACGGCTTGTTTTTCTCGGTCTTTCTGGAACTGTCAGCATCTGCCCTGTCTGGGTATAGGTCAGCCAGCTCTGTGTAACAGCAGGTGGGGGGGCTGGGGAGAGGGGGATGTCGCCATTCATCCAGCCCCACTTCAGGGGAGGGCCACTAGAGAATGAGGTCACAGACCAGAGAGCCCTCATCCATGTGCCCAGGACCCCCGAGTCCCAAGAGAAATGGGGACACCTGTGAAGAGGCCAGAGGGGCCCTCCCAGGGGGTCAGCCTTCACAGGAGAGGTGTGGGGGCGCCGCATAGGAGCAGGTCTGCAAGGGTCCCCTGAGAACTGTGAGAGCCAGGATGACGTGCTGGGAAGCTCTGTTACCATGGTTACCCCTGCCTGCATCCCCGTGGCCTGCAACCCCACAGCCCTCCCCAGCAGGCCCGTTTCCCCACACAACCTGGCCGGCAGAGCCCAAAGCTGCAGAGGGGTGGGGGTGGGGGGATGGCGCTCACAGGGGAAAACTCTCAGGTCTGTGGGGGTAAGGGAGGTGCAGTTTTAACCACCACCCAGGGGAGCCAGGCACACCAGCCCGAAGAGAGAATTCTCAGCTGCCAGGTACCCAACGGACATGCACTTGGAGACTGGGACTGGTTGGCCCACAGTTGTGGGGATTGTGGAGAGGTGCAGAACTGCAGTGTCTCGGGTTTCAACTCTAAAGGGGTCTGTCTGGACTGCCCACTGCACCTCGAGCCTGTCAGGGAGTGTCTAGGAGGCAACACCGGCTCTCCCAGCCTGCCTGGCCCCATGGAACCTGGTCTGGGCGCTGGGCTTGAGGAAAAAAACAGCCACTAGCGCAGGTACTGGAGACTGCAGTAAACACTGACGAACATTCTGGATTCCCGGGGAGCGGGAGCAGCGCTCCGCTCCGGCGGGGCGGGGGCGGCGGGCAGCGATTACCCAGAGGCCCGGCAGCCCAGCTCGGGCCGCTCGGGGGGAGCGCTTCGTGACGGTGCCCCTCCCGCCGCGGCGCGCGCTGACATTTCCAAGAGCTCGCCAATTATTTTAATAACTGCAGCTCCTCGGGTGGGCAGGCCAAGGGGCGACTATTACTCATCGCACAGACAGGAGAGCCGCTGAAGCAGCTCCAGGGACCGGGAGGGGGAGGCACCTCGGCGAGACAGCGGGGGTGGGGGAAACCGACGTGGGGTGGCGGGGAAGCTTGGAGTTCAGGTGAGGTGCTCAGGTGCTATTGGAAGGGGCAGGGGGAAGCTGTCACTCCCCAGGAACTGCATCTGCCCATGTATAAGTGCCCCGAGAGGTAGCTGGGGCTGAGGACATCGTCCTGAGCGTGGCAGGTCACCGGAGGGAGGGCAGCAAGGTGAGCTGCCCTTTCCCCAGCAACACGGGGTCTCAGAGTTGCGCTGGGATTCCACCAGGGAGCAACAGCAGTCAGAGTGGAATGGGAATCCGGAAATCTGTCTCCTGACCTCAAGCCCTGTGGTCAGCAGCCCACCCCATCACTGCTAAACACAGTGTCTTTTCTGCAGTGACAGGTGGGGGGGTGAAGGACAACAAGAGCCCCATTTCCACACCCACAGCCCGTTAAAACACAGGACACTTAAAAATTTTAAATGTTGGGTCAGAGAGATAATACAGTAGGGGTAGGGTGTTTGCCTTGCCGACCATATGGTCCCACGAGCACTGCCAGGAGTAATTCCTGAACAGAGAGCCAGGAGTAACCCCTGACATTGCCAGGTATAGTCCCAAAGGGGTGCAAATGCTTGATTCTAAATGGCAGGGGTGGCAGGGTGCTAAAACTCAGCAATCCAGAATTAACCATTAACTTCATTAACCCCAGCTCTTAGCGTGAGACCCCACTGGGATGGACCCGCTACTCTAGGGCAGAGGCTCCTGCCTCCACAAGTTTCTAGTCAATCACTCACTGAAATTTGGGTCCCTCAGTCCCCAACACCCCGGACTGCTGGCCCTTAGCCTGTGCACACAAACCCAAAACTGGTCCCAACAGGAGGGAGCAGGAGCAGGGAGCCCTCTTAGCGCTCCTGCGGCAGGCCACACACACACACACACATACATACACACACACACACACACACTCATTCTCTCTCCCTCTCCCCCTACACACACTCTCACACACTCTGCTCTCTCTCTCTCACTCACACTCACACACACACACACACTCTCACATACTTTCACTCTCACACTCACTCACTTTTGCTCTTACTCTCTCACTGGGAGCAGGCGAGGCCTTCCAACCTTCACACAACCAAGCCTGAGGAGGCCAAGGCCTGTTTCCCAAAGCTCACAGCTATCCCTTCTTTCTCCTCCACAGTCTCCTTCTCCTGAACACTCCCCCACTGCCACCCCAGGCTCCAGGCCTCAGGGGGATGGGGGGGGGGGCAGGCTCCTCTTCTCTCCTCTGTCCCTTGAGGGATGGGGGTGCGGTGAGGGAACTGCACGGTCTGTGCCTCACTTGTTACAGCTGAAGGAAGCAAAGGGTTTTTCTGACCTAATGTATGGCTGTGTGCTCCCTGCCCATGTCCTGACTGGTAACACATGTCAGAAAGACTTGTGGTGCCACCGCCATCTCTCTCCTGAAGGTCCTCATGCAGGGCACAATGGGCCGGGAAGCCTGACGCCAGGCACCCCACCCCCATGCTGGCCACAGAGTCCGCTGCTCACGCACGTCCTTGGTCACCATGGAGACTAAGCCAGGAGCCCAGCCATGACGCTCTTGGGGACACGGGGTCCAGAGGGCGTCATGGGAACACCACGTTCTGCTGGGCAGTGATCCGGCCCCGCAATTCCGGGAGGTGATCCAGCTGCAAATTGGGCAAAGTCTGAAGATGCGGATGGCTGCTGAGAGGGGCTCAGATAAGAAGAGACTCAGGGTCCCTGGCACCCTATGCTCCAGGGTCTCCCCACAGCTGTGAGGGTCCCCAGCAGGGAGGGGGTCAGGGGGAGGGGATTGGTGTCCCGGCTGAGTTCTGCCGGGCCTAGAGAATGTCCAGGAGACCACCCGTGTCCCTGAGCCCAGGGCCTCCCCAAGTTTCAGCCTCCAGTCCTGGCCCCCTGGTGGGAAGGGCCGAGGGTCAGTCCAGAAGCTCAGCGAGATCTCGGGGTGGGTCTTCTCTGAACAAAAGGGGCGCAGCCGAGGAGCAGCACTGGACAGGTGTCAGGGGAAAGGCAGGATGGTGAACCCCACAGGCCAAGTCAAGTCCACTGGGTCCTCGCTGACACTTCCCCACAAGGGCAGAAGGGCAGTCTGGGAGGGGCTTCCCCGGGGGGCCCCTCACAACTCAGCTGCAGTTGGCATGCTCCTAGCCTGGCCCTTCCTGTCCTACGGCGCAGGCAGCCCACTCCCTGCAGCTAGGATCCGCTCCCGGTTTCGCTCCAAGATTTCTAACATGCTCTGCATGTCGTGGTCAGCCTCGAGCACCTGAGAAACAAACACAGGGGTCAGAGGGCTGCGCTGGACTCCACATCACGCTCCCCCGCCCCCCCAGACTGGACAGGAGGCGCAGAAACATGAGGGCCCAGGCAGAGTGAAAGGAAGGTCACAGTGAAACGGCCACCAGTTCGAGACCAACCGAACACTCTTTTTTGACTCCACATTTCTGAGAAGGCCGGTGGCTGTCCCTACAGTGAGCTCATGCTGTTTCTGTCTCACCGTACACCACCCACTGAACTTTGCTTTTTTTCTTGTTATATCTTCACAGGGGGGACCCCGATGGTTGCTCAGGGGGCCCTGGGGTATTGGGGATCAAACCTGGGTCCGGTCCACCCCAAGCTCCTTCTCGGGAACCTGGCTTTATTTCCTTTAAGACCCACTGCGGGAATTAACGTCTCCCCATCCAGCAACCTTGCTGCCCGGAAGCATCCCAGGCCCAAGTCAGGGCAGCCCAAAGGCACCCCCAGGAGCCTCGCTCAGACCCACATCGGGTGCACACTCCTCAGAGGCTCTGGCACCCGTCTGTCTGTGCCAGGAAATTCAGCTACGGCAAAGCCGCAAACAGGAGTGAAGGGAGTGGGGGAGACAAGGAAGAGGGGTGATGCAGGAACGCAAGCAGCGAGTGCGAGAGCACAGGAGCGCGTTACGGTCCATGCCAGTGGCTGCTCCCGGCGCTCCGGGCCACCAAGGGAAGGTGGGTGGGAAGCGCAGGCCCGCCTCAAGGAAGGGAGGTGGGCTCAGAAAGGCCATGGCCAACCTGATAACCAAAGCCAAAACGGCATTGAGAACGCACCTGCGCTGACGCAGCTGCTGCAGTTATAGGACACAGCCTGTGCCACCTTTGCTTGGGCCAGACTCACTCGGGGCCGTGGCCACCCACTAGGCTTCCCTGTGTGCCCATCTTCACTCTCCAGCCCAGAAAGGGGAGACAAAATTTCCTCCCAGACTCCCACTTCCTCCTTCAAAGTCCAGAGCGCGGAAGGACCCGGCCTTTCAGAACCTGTTTCTGCCATTCCTCCCTCTAGAAACTTCTCCTGCCCTAGCAAGGGGACTTACCAGAACAGGAGCCGCCACTGGGAACGGGCCTCCCTTCACCAGCCATTCCTCATACAGGTGGTGGATGGCTTCCAGGTATTGCTGTGGGGAAACAGACACACGGGAACTGTCAGAGCAGGTCTCTTCCGGGGGGGGGGGGGGGGGGGGGGGAGGAGGAGGAGCAGGCAAGGGGACAGCAACGGCCAGAGACAGTGGCTCAGGCGTGGTAGCAGCCAGCTGGGCCCAGACGGACAGCGGTAACTCTGGACACGCACGGCCACAGCCTGTGACACTCGGCGTGCACCCCCATCCCAGACACACCCTACCCAACGACACCCGCCTTCCTCACTCCTGCCCCGTCCTTCCGTGGGAGGCTGCCCAGCCCCAGGTGCCTCTGCCTCTCCCTCTGACCTTCCCGCCAAGCGCACCGCAGCTCTCGTGGCCTTCACCTGCCAGCTGTGACCCAGGATCCTTGGGAACAGCAGCCTTTGACCTTCCCGCACCCGCGGCCCAGCACCTGCCCTGTATTCCGGGTCAGGGAGCGGCAGGGATGGCCAAGGCAAGGATTGAGGTTCTCCACCTCTCCACCTTCCTGCACGGACCCGGGGTATGGCTGCTGAGGGCTGGTGATCTAGGATCCAGCCCCGGAGAGTCCAGCAAGGCGAGACTCAAGGGATGAGGGCCCAGGAGGCCCCGAGGCCACCCGAGCCTCTCACCAGCCCTCGGAAACTTTCTCCAAGTGGCAGTGCGGGGGCCGGATTTCAGGAGCTGGTGGTGGTGGAAGGTGACCAGGACAGCAGTCCCAGCCTGCCAGTCCCTGTGGAACCCAGAGGGTGAGTCCAGGCAGAGGTTAGCGCCACCTCCAGGCCTGGCCCTGAGTCAAGCGCTGGGGAACGCAGGGGGCACCCAGGTGAGGAGCCAGAGCAGAGCATAAAGACCAGCAGCCCCAGGACGGGGTGACCAAGGCCTGAGGGGAGGCGAGGACCAAGACGAATGAGTCTGGCCCCCACCAGCCTCCACCGGGATGGGACAGGGCTCCGGGGGCGCTCACCAGCGGGATGATCTTCTCCTCCTCCCTGCATCTCATCTTTAACCGCTGGTAACAAGTCTCAGGGGTGGTCTGGAGATAAACTGCGGGTTCGAGAAAATAGGGGGGGTTGGAGCGCTGGCTCACGGCATTGAGCATGTGCTCCACAGGCAGGAAGCCCAGGCTTGATCCTGGCACCATGTGGTCCTCCCTCAAACCACCACTTAAGGAACTCCTGGGCACATAGCAAGATCAGCCCCCCGTCCCCAGCCACCCCCAGTCCAATGGGTGTGCAACAAAAAGAAACAAAGAAAAGTATGAGGGGAAGGAGGTATCTTGATGGTGGCAAACATGCCTTGCAGGTAGATGAGCTACTTTGATCCTCAGCACTGCAAAAAAAGGAAGAAAAAAGGAGTGGTTTTGTGAATCCTGCTTGGGCCTTGGCAACTGGCCAGGAGAAGTACAGGTAGGCGTGAGGAGATGGCGGGAAAAACCTCGATAGCAGCTCCCTGCCCGGACAGCTGAGGCAGGGGCACGCTGCGGGGTCTGCAGGGTCCCCTGACCGTTAGCGAATCTGTCCTTCCTGTCCACATCAGCCATCTTGGGGGCACAGGAAGGCTGAATGAGTCCTGGAACCCAGCTGATGTCAGTGCACTTCCCTTGCATTCATGAAAGCCCTCAGGGTGCGAGGACCCAGGCGAGAACAGCTGTAGGTGTCTCCTCCCAAGCACATAAGCCCCAGATTCTGTCTTCTCCAAGGAAGAGTATCAGCAATGCTGGGTGTCTGACACCATCCTGCTGGAGGGCCTGGCCCCGCCCAGGGGAAGTTCAGAGGGGCCCCTCACCGATGAGATCCACAGACACATCTATGTGCGCCTTGATCCAGTCAAACCATTCTGACAGAATCACGTAGTCCACTTCGGGCATCTTCCCACTGCAATGAGAGTTGAAAAAGGGTGACTCACCCCTAAGAAAGCTCCCGGTGGCCCTGTCTCCCCACAAAGAACCCAGAAATAGCTTTCATTCAAATGGCACTGCCTGTGGGGCAGGAAGATGGATCAAACAGCCGGAGTGCACACATGGCAGAGCTCAACCCCCAAGTTGATCTCCGAGCACTGAGCCATTTGGTCCACACAGTCGGGTCAGATATACCACTGACCCCCCCCCCCCCCCGAATACTGCTTGGGCCCTCCCCCTCCGACACAGACACGTACACAAAGAGCATTTCCCTGTCCTTTGGGTCAGGGAGTTCACTCAAGTGGAAGCACAGCTGTACAGTGTATGTGAGACACTGGGTTTAATCCCCAGCACCACATGTACCCCCAGTGCCACTGGTGACCCCAGGGCTACATCACCCTGGGACCATTAACTATAATGTCTGCATCTCCAAGCCAAGCATCATTGGGGCGTGGGGTGGGGGGAAGGGGAAGGGGCATCCAGCCTCTGTGGGTGGCTCCTTTCAAAAGTAGATTGTGGGTTAATGCCGGCCAAAATGCAACCCTGTGATGCAGAAGGTGTGGTGCTGGCTAGGGGTCTCAGCCCCCAACTTCCATGCCTGGGGATGGGCTCAGAGGTAAAGGTAGCCAGTATCTCTGCATCCCCCCCACCCCCAGGTGGATATGTGCCCACCTCCACAACAAGCAGAGAAAGGGGCTTTGAAGCCTGTCCCCTGAGAACCAGGACAACAAACCAATTTCACCTCTTGCCATTAATTTTGTAGAAGCTATCATGGAACTTGCGGCAGCCCTATTAAAAATAATGAAGAGCTAAATCTCGAAACATCTATTATCACACAGACCCACGCAGCAACTGGAAGATGAAGCTGTAAAATAATACCAATGACGTGAAAGGTGCTCATAACCTAATGTTCAAAGCAGACAGCAGAATACAACACTGAGTGTATTTACAGCCCAGCCACAATCTCAGGAGTACTCGGCCATTCGTTTTGAAAAGGAGACTAGAAAGAAAAACACCTAAGATGTCAATAGTGCTTTGTCTGAGTCATAAGACTATGGGGACTTTGGAAAAAAATACCATACCTTTCTGTCTTTTCCAAACTTCAGCAAACTATTAGTCATTAATCCAGAGTGGGGCAGCATTATACCTTTTTAAGTGGAATAAAGAAGGGAGGGCAGAAGGCGGAGGAGAGGAGAGGCCAGAGCAGAAGAGAGCACAAGTGAGATGTACCTGTCTGCTCCCATGGCTTTCTCTGCATCAGGAAGTGAATGGGAAGGAATAGGAATGAGGAGGGTCCCACCACAGCTCCTAAGAGGAATTCAATCTTTGAACATCTTGTGCCCACTTCAGATCCCTCCTGAGATCCAATTTTGGGTCCGACCTTAACTTCTTCAAATACAACCTGAGATTCCTACTCAGATATCCTCTTAGATCCCTCTTCAGATGCCCCTTCAGATTCCTTCTCAGATTCCTCCTAAGAACCCCCTTGAAAACCTCCTCAGATCCTTCCTCAGATCTCCCCTCAGATTTGTCCTCAGATCTCCCCTCTGATCCTTCCTAAGATCCTTCGTCATGATGCTTCCTCAGATATCCCCTCAGAATCTTTCTCAGATCACAGTTAGATTGGCTCTCCTTGCTCAGGTCCTTCCTCAGATACCTCCTCAGAACCTTCCTCAGATTATGCCTCAGATCCCTCCTCAGATCCTTCCTCCTATTTCCCCTCAAATTCCTCCTCTGTTCCCCACGTCAGAACTCATCTCAAATTCTCCCTCAGAACCTTCCTTACATTTCTCCTCGGATCCCCCTCAGATCCTTCTTCAGATCCCACCCACATCCTTCCTCATTCCTCCCCTCAGATCCTCCCTGAATTTCTCCTCAGAATCCTTCTCAGATCCCCCCTCAGATCCTTCCTCGTATCTTCCCTCAAATCCCTCCTCAGTTCCCCACTTCAGATCTCATCTCAAATTCTCCCTCAAAACCTTCCTCACATTTCTCCTCAGATCACCCTCAGATCCTTCTTCAGATCCCACCCACATCCTCAGATCTCTCCTCAGATCTTCCTTGGATCCTCCTCAGACTTCCATGAGATAGTTCTTCAGATCTCCCCTCATATCCCTCCCCATATCTCTCCTCAGATCCTCCCTAAATTTCTCCTCAGAACCCTCCTCAGATCTCCCCTCAGATCTCCACTGTGATCCTTTCTCAAATACCCCCTCAGATCCTTCTTCAGATCCTCCTTCAGGTACCCTGAGATACTTCCTCAGATCTTCCCTCAGATCTCCCTCAGACTCCTCCTCAGATCTTCCTCAGATCTCCCTCAGATCCTCCCTCATGGCCTTTCCCACATTTCTCCTCAGATCTCCCCTGAGATCCAACCTTGAATCTTCCCTCAGAATACCTGTCAGACTGTCCCTCAGATCTCCATCTATCTTCCTCAGATTCTTCCCCCAAATCCTTCCACAGGTCTCCCCTTAGATTCTCCCTCACTTCTCCCCTCAGATCATCTCTTAGATCTTCCCTCAAATCTTACCTCAGATCTCCCTCTGATTGTTCCTCACATTTCTCCTCAGATCTTCCCACAAATCCTGCCGTAGATTCCCCTTCAGATCCTCTTGGTTCCTTTCTCAGATCCCCCCTGATTCTTTCTCAGATCTCTCCTGAGATCCCCCTCAGATACTTCCTCAGATCTCCTCTCAGATCCTTTCACAGATATCCCTTAGATCCTTCTTCAGATGCTCCCTTAGATACCCCTGAGATACTGCCACAGATCTTCCCTCAGATCCTTTCTCAGATACCCCCTCAGATCCTTCTTCAGATACTCCCCCAGATCTTCCTGAGATACTTCCTCAGATATCCCCTCAGATGTCACCTCAGATCCTTCCTCAGATTCCTCTTACATCCTTTCTTAGATTACCCCCTCAGATCCTTCCTCAAGGAATCTCTCTTCAAATCCTTCTTCAGCTCCCCCCTCAGATTTACCCTCAGTTCTTTTCTCCCATTTCTCCTCACAACCCCTCAGATCCTTTTTTGGAACCCCCCTCAGATAGCCCTAACATCCTTCCTCAGATACCTCTGCAGATCCTCCCTCAGATCTTTCCGCAGATCCTTCCTCAGATCTCCCTCAGATCCTCTCTCACATTTCTCCTCAGATCCCTCCTCATAACCCCCTCACATCCTTCCTCAGATTCCCCCCTCAGCTCTCTCCTCAAATCCTTCTTCAGTTTCCCGCTCAGATGTTCCCTCTGATCCTTCCTCACATTTCTCTTCATATATTCCCTCAGATCCTTTCTGAGATCCCTCCACAGATCTCCCCTCAGAATCTTTCTGAGATCTCTCCTGAGATCCCCCTCAGATCCTTTCTCAGGTCTCCACTGTGATCCTTTCTCAGATGCCCCCTCAGATCCCTCCTCAGATCTTCCATCAGATTCTTCCTCAGATCCTTCCTCATATTTCTCCTCAGATACTTCTTCACATTTCTCTTCAGATCCCTCCTGAGATCTTCCCTCAGATCCCTCCTCAGTCCTTTCCTCAGATCCTCCCATCATATCTCCTCTCAGATTCCCCCTCATATCTTTCCTCAGATCTCCCCTCAGACCCTTCTTCAGATGCTCCCTTAGATGCCTCCTCAGATCCTCCCTCCCATTTCTCCATAGATCTCCCCACAAATCCCTTCTCAGATATTCCCTCAGATTCTCACTCAGATGCCCCCCACAGATCTTTCCTCACATTTCTCCTCAGATTCCTCCTCAGATTCTTCCTCAGATCCCTCAAATCCCCCCTTAGATCCTCCCTCAGATCTCCCCTCAGATCCATCCTCAGACCTCCCCTTAGATCCTCTCTCAGATCCTTCCTCACATTTCCTCAGATCCCCCTCAGATCCTTCCTCACATTTCTCCTCAGTTCCCTCTTCAGTCGCCCCCTCGGATACTCCCTCAGATCATCCCTAAGATCCTTCCTCAGACCTCAACTTAGGTCCCTCTCAGATCCCCCTTCAGATTCCTTCTCAGATCTCCCCTCAGATTCTTTCACTGTTCTCCTCAGATCTTCCCTCGGATCCTTCCTCAAATCCTCCTCAGATACCTATGAAAGCCTTCCTCAGATCCCCCTCAGATCCTTCTTAGATCTCTTTTCAGATCCTTCCTCAGATCCTCCTAATATACCCCTAGATCCTTTCTCAGATCTCCCCTCAGATCCTTCTAGATCTCTTCTCAGATCCTTTATTTGATTCTCCCTCAACTCTCCCCTCAGATCCTTCCTCACATTTCTCCTTAGATCGCCCTCAGATCCCTTCTCAGATCCTCCCTTATATCTTCCCTCAGATCGTTCCTCAGGTCCTCCCTCAGATTCCCCCCTCAGATCCTTCTTCACATCCCCCTCAGATCCTTCCTCAGATTCCCCCCTGCCCGATCCTTCTTTAGTTCCCCCCACAGATCATCCCTCATATCCCCCATTAGGTCCTCCCTCAGATTTACCCTTAGATCCTTCCTCAGATATCCCCTCAGATTCCTTTTGGGTTTGGCTGGCTCTAGGTAGTCGACAGGCTGAGTCTTTCAGAGGGAGATTGGCTGGGATTTGGTCCTTGCCAGATCCTGAATACTGACTCACTTGTTGGAAGAGACTGATCACACAGGGGCTCTGGGACACAGGGCATACACAGGGAACTGCCAGGCATCAGACCTCAGTCAGTAGGGCAGAAATTAACCTGGAAGCTTCCCAGAGAAGTGTGTGTGTGTACCGTGGGAACACCTGTGTGGGGGAGGGGGTGGACATATCATCACACCACAGAGGTGACTCAGAGCCCACTGAGTTCAGATACCAAAGGTCAGGGTCTTGGCTGGTGTGGGGTGAGGACAGGTGAGTGCCCAGTTTCTTTCTCTTCCCCTTCCCACAGTCTCCTTAGCTTGGGCCCTTCCACAGGTCTCAGTGTTTAAAGAACACCTCAGGGCAGGCATCCTGTGAGACACTACAATCATCTCCTTTAGCTACTCTGAGCTGAAAGGGGTAGGACAACTCTGGCCACAAGAAGCCCATTTGTGCTGGTGAGGTGTGGGGGAGGCTTGCAGAGGTCCTGGAAAACCAAGGTTTCCTGATGGGCTTAGAGGAAAACCATCAGCAAGTCAGCTACTCTTCGGTCAGCAAATGAAAGTGCTGGCACTGCCCCAGTCATTTTGTCACCAAGGGAAAATCACCTCAGGGTGGAGGGCACGCTCCTGAGTAGTGTTCAGGGGGCCTGAGCAGTTCAATGCTTGGGCTGGTGGGGTGATGCTTCTCAGGACCAGCAGTGCTGGGGGCTTCCAGGAAAACACCCATTAAGTGCTTGTAGGGGTTAGGGGAAGTCAAGCAGTGCCAGTTCGGTAAGGTCTGGCTATCTGCCCTGCCCCACAGAAATAATCTTGAGAACATAAAAACACAGAACAGCAAAATGGAGAGAAGTTGTGCAAGTGGTCCCTGGAAGCCTGTGAGCAAGCAGAGCTGTGCAGAGCGCGTTCAGGTGCCTGCAGGGTTTGATGTTCAATCAGCCAAACCTCCCTTCCTGGAACATAAGTCTGCAAGTCAGTCTCGCCTCCAGCAAACACAGCCAGAAGGGTCTGGCTCCAGGGTGGTCTTCCCATGGTGGGATGGGTGTCAGGCTTTGCCCCTGCAGATACCACTGTACAATCAAGCCTCAAAGGACAGGGTCATGCCCAGAGCTGTGGCAAGAAGCCCCACACAGCAGCCCAGCCCAGCCCAGCTGCCTGACGGAGCCTCTGCTCCTGTTCTCTCCATTCTGTGGCCCTGGGTTTTGTTTGTGTCCTCAAGATGATCCCCATTTCAGGGCTCAGGAGCGCCCCACACACCACCTGCTCTACCTACCGCCCACCACCCCACCTTGTCCACCAAGGGATTTTCTCCACCCACTGCCTCCACGGCCTCAGCCCAAGGACAGCCCATGACTCAGGCCCAGGGATGGATCGAGCGGGGGCAGCACCCCAGGCCACGCCAGTCAGTGAACAGTCTTAATCATTGTCCCTGGCCCACCTCGGTGAGTCATTGCCAGGCCCCTGCCCCCTCACTGCTGTTCTTAGAAAACACCACAAGGCAGCGAGCCGCAAAGGCTTCCTGTGTCCCCTGAGCAGCCTGCGGTGCTCAAGCCACACAATCACTGCGCAGCTTCTGGCATCCTTCAGCGTTCTCCTCTCCCACCTCCCGCCCCATGCCCACACCACAGAGGCTGTGGGATCTTCAGCTGTTGGCATGTCCCCTGGGGCCATAATGGCTCTGACATTCTGCCTACCTCAAACCCACTAGGCATTGATGGGGAGAGGTGGGTCTCTCCCTAGGGGGCAGTTTCTTCCATGTTTGAGGCTTGAAAGGTTAAGGGCTTAGGGAGCTCAGCGCTCTGGCATGGGCTACAACTGTAGTATTCAGGCTGTTCTGGCGATCCTCAGAGAAGACAGCCCACCTTAGGGTTCCAGAGCACTGGGGCCCAGGCAGAAGCTGACACCTCACATGTTTCATCAAGTGGCTCCCAGGATTCAGCTGAACAGCCCCAGAGGAATGGCAAGAGTGTAGCCCAACCCAATTCCAGGCTCTGTTTGGCTTTGGCTCAGAGGGTAGTGAATGGGCTCAGGCCACGGAAACTTCTAGAAAATGTCTCCTTTCTCCACACTGAGCACTGGGCTGTGTCAGGACAGCAGCCACAGGAAGGCCGTGACTCGGACCTCCCTCCATTAGGCACTTCTTTTTGCTCGGGCTGAGCACTTTTCTCAGGGTCTCCAAAAGGAAATCCTGTGTAAGTCAGGGCTGCCCCTTGCCTGCACCCTGAAACAAGAACCCAGACACCCTGAAACAAGAACTCAGCAACACTCCCCCAAAACCAAAACCTCAGGCCACACACAGGCCATGAAGAAGAAGGGTAGGCAACCCCGCAGGGAAGCGCTTCCTCGGGCACCCAGCGCAGGCCCAGCCCAGCTCCTGCCCTGAGAGAACTCACGGGACAAGCCTTTTCAGTGGTCTCCAAAGGAGCCTGGGAGTCTGGGCGTTGCGGCCGGAGCCTGGCACCGGTCTCGTGCTGCTGAGAGCCCAGAGGAGTCCTGCTAACCCAGAGCAGCCAAGGCACATCATCACTCAATCGCAAATGAGCGCTGGAACCAATCCACAAGGTCTGTACCCCCATGTGTAGATGGGCAGTTGCGGGGATACATAACATCCGATTATAGAAATGAACCACACAAAACCGACTTTTTTTTTACACCATCAGAAATGGCAAAAGATTAAGTGCTCCATACGATTTGACCCCACTAGAAAACTGTCTTGAGCCTGGGGTGCAGCTCTGAGGCATAGCACATGCCTTGTACGTGTGAGGCTCTGGGTTCATGGGGACTAATCCCTCTAGAGTGGGAAATTCAGGGAAGGGCATGGCATTTAGGAAGGCAGCTGAGATGACAGTGTTCCGTGCACAGCATGAAAGGCTGCCAGCCACGAGCACCAGCTCTGCAAGGGAGTGGCAGCAGCACCCAGAAACTCAGCAACAACCTCCGGGGGCGGGGGGGGGGAACCAGAGTGGGGCAAGGAGGACAAGGTATGCAGAAACCCAGAAGTGGGGCTCGGAAAGCAGACTGAGGCCCACTTCCCCGAGAGCCCAGACACTCAGCAGCTGAGTGCTGGCACAAAGGGTCACGGGTTTATGACAACTCTGAGCCCATGAGAGCAAGGCAGTTTCTAGTGGAGACCACAACAGAAGTGTCCCCCCCCAGACTCCCAAAGCACCATGCTTGCCCATACAATCACCCCCAGTCAGCCATGTCACCCACCTCTCAGTTCTGGGTGGGCTTGAGGGACCTGTGATGGCCTGTGGGATGTTAGTATGAGGCAGAGGTTCACTGGGCTTGAGGGTCCCCAAAATGCCAAAAGGCAAGAGGGAGAGAGCTAAATCACTCCCAACAATCAGGCGAAGGGGGCTACCCTAGACCAGCCAGTCCCCCCAAGATACATCAGTGAGCCAGTCTAGAGGACCAGGAGGGGGTGGGGGGGGTGTTGGGTCACACCCAGTGGTACAGTGGTACTCAGGGGCTATTCCTGGCTGTGCTTGGGGGGAATTATATGGGATGTCAGGGATCGAACCCGGGTTGTCCATGTACAAGGCAAGTGTCAACCTGCTGTACTACCATTGTGGTCCCACAAGTTCCTATTTCCTTCCTTTCTTCCTTCCACCTTTGAATTTTTTTTTTTTTTTTTTTAGTGAAACACCATGAGGTACAATTGCAGACTTACAAACTTTCGTGCATGGGTTTCAGTTATACAATGATCGAGTACTCATCCCTCCACTAGTACCCATTTTCCATCACCAATGATCCCAGTAGCCCTCCTGTTCCCCCACCCCACCCCCACCCCGCCCTGCCTTTGTGGCAGGGCATTCCCTTTTGCTCTCTCTTTCCTTTGGGATGTTGTGGTTTGCAATAGAGGTACTGAGTGGCCATTGTGTTCGGTCTATAGTCTACTTTCAGCACACATCTCGCATCCCGAGCAAATCCTCCAAACATCCTTTACTTAGTGTTTAAAATAAATAGTTTGGGGCTAGAGTGACCCTACAGAGGGCAGGACACTTCCCTTGCCCATGACTATTCCTGGTATGATTCCAGGCATACCACAGGTCCCCAAACCCTGCCAGAAATGATCCAAGAAGAGAACCAAGAGTAAATCCTGAGCTCCACTGGGGGTAGGCCAAAAATAAAAACTCTAAGAATGGTTTAGGGGCTTGTCTTGCATCCCGCTGAGCCCAGTTCAAATCCTCAGCATCATACACAGTCCTCCAAGCACACCCAGGGCCACTCCTGAGCATGGAGCCAAGATCAGTGCCTGAGCACTGATGGGTCAACCCCCAAACCAAGAATGGCTTAATACATCCTCAGTACCTTCGATACAGGTTTTCAACAAAAATGTATCTCGCGCTGTGAATCGACCGCTCCATCAGTCGCACGGGTGACATCTGAGGAGAAAGAAAATATACCTCATCAACTCAGGCTGATGCCGGCAACCCTGGGCAATGCCAGTGGGTGCCCCAGCTTTGGTTCACACTGGGTACCGGAATGAAGAGGCTAAGGGAGGTCATGGTCACCACAGAACTGAGTCTGGTTCCCCTGCTCCAAGGAAGCTGGGGTGGGCAGTCTCCGTCAGAACACGCACAGCTCAGCGGGATCGTGGGCACGGAGAACGCTAGAGTACGTGCTCTAGTACAGTCCCACAGAGTGTGATGACAGCTCTGCAGCTAAACAGGGTGCCAACGTGCCCGTGTGCCCCAGCAGAAATCCAGGGGGCCCAGGGTTTGGGTGTCATTCTCGCAGCAGTACCAGAGGGCCTGACTCTTTGGAACTCATGAGCAGGTGCTCCTCAAGCAACCCCGGAACACTGGGACGGCCCGTGCCAAGGGTCAAGGAGCATGTGGCATTGCTACCCACAGGGCTCCCCTGGGAAGCAGGTAGCAAACACTCTCACCCCACCTCAGGCCCAGGGCCTGCAAAGCACGGGGAGATTCAAAGGCAAGAACTCCGGCTCTGCCTGTTCCTCTACCTTTCCTTATCCTTCTCCCTCTGCCTGCATGATAGATTTCCTTCAACAGAAGAACAGCCACATCCCACTACAGCCAGATGTACAACTGGTCCTCTGAAAACATCGCTCTGTTCAATTTTTGATTTTGTTTTGGGGCCACACACAACAGTGCTCAAGAGCTTATTCCTGGCTTTGCGCTTAGGAATCACTCCTGGCAGATCTGGGAGATCATATGAGATGGGACTCAAACCCCAGTAGGCCTTGTGCAAGGCAAGTGCCCTACCTGCTGTACTATCTCTCTGGCACCTATAGACATCCTTTTGGAACAACAAAATGATGAGAGGAAAAACTACTAGCTGATTTAAACAGTATTCGAGGATCTGGTTCTTTGAATTTTAAGTAAGGGCTAAAATTAGGCTTGTAATCATTTCAAAAAACAGGGCATACCCAGGAGGGGTATTCTGACCCCAGTCCCTCTGATCTGCATCGTTTAGGCAGACACTAAGGAGACAGAAACCTGAGCAGTTCTGCTCCTGTCTTTCCACTTCTGAGATGCATAGTAGTCATTAGCTGCTGTGCCCAGCCCAGCAAAGCTGCTGTGCTGGCCGAACTGGAGCTATCTCCTTCAACGAGAGCCTCCCGTATGGATCTCCAAGGCTGTGCTTGAAGGTTTGAGCCATGGGGGCCAACCAGGATCCCCTCAGCCAGTCTTTCTTCCAGGGCAGCCTCTCCACCCTGAGACACCTGCCCACGCAAGACATGTTTGCAGATCTGCCCTAACTCCTGACTGGCCCAAGGCAGGACATGTGACCAGATGAGCCAAAAAAGTCTTTACCTCCAGAATCTGCCCTCAGTGTTCAGCCCCAGGGCAATAGATTAGATGGCTCAGTAAATTCTCAGTCACTGGAATAAACCAAGCATGCATTCCAATCACCTGAAGAGCTCAATAAAAACATACTGTCAAGGCTCATCACCACAATTTCTGACTCTGTAGGTCTAGGTGGGGGCCAGAAAACATACACTTGTAACCAGGTCCCAGGTGCTGCATGCTTTGGGAAGAAATGCATTACAATGGTAAGACCCCAGCAAAGTGACATTCTAATAAGTTCTCATTATCTGAGCTTGGTGAGTGATTAAGAAGCTTCTCGAAGCTACAGAAACATGGACCTTGAACCCAGGATTATAGGAGGCCAAGCAGTGAAGGGCGAACTGGCTAGTCCCCTCAGGTGAAGTCTCTCTCTGGAACTTGCAGAAATGTGAAGGCTGGCGTGTACCTGAGGACGTGTGTGCTGCTCCAACATGGTGAGCTGCACATAGGTCTGCAGCGTGAGGCCCCAGCGACAGGCATCCCGGTACATGAGACCCTGCGGAAGCACAAAGCAGGCCATTCACACACTGTCCTGGGACCCTGGCCTCTTCTGTCTCCGCTGACCATCTCAGGAAAGCCCCACGGGGATGGGTTGGGGCACAAATGAAGCCAACATGATTGCAGGCCCCACTGAACAATTCCAGGGGGCTTACAGAGAGCACCGAGGCATGGTCCATCAATGTTCACTCTGCGCCCCCTGCAGACTGTTCTCAGCCTAGCAGCCAAAGCGAGCCGGTTAGACCTTCCCACTCCGCTGCCACTCACCCTGCACGGTCAGGTCAGGTCCAGGCAGTCCCCCAGGGCCTCTGCACAGGCAGCGCCTTCATCTGATCCCCTCCTGGCTACAGGAGCTTCCCTGCTCAAGCCTCTCTTGGCCTCTGCTCAAATACCACCTATTAGAGACACCCTCCATAGGCCCTCCCCCCAGCTACCATCCTTCCGCTCTTCATCATTTTTGTTCCTTGACTGCCTCCCAGCTAAGTGGTGAAAGCCCAGGGCTCTGCAGGGAAAGCCAAACCACAGACTCCCTAAGCTCAAGGGAAGCGAATTTCAGCAAGCTTAGCAGAGATGCTCCCACACAGGCACTCTCCGAGAGAACCCGGGTCAAAGAAAACTGACGTTTTCCAAAAAAAAAAAGATGTTTTCTGGTGGGGGGGGGGTGGTGGTTTGGGGGCCACATCTAACAGTGCTTGGGTCTTATTCCTGGATCTGTGCTTAGGGAGCCATATGGGATATTGGGGGATCAAATCCAGGTTGGTTGTGTGCATGGCAAGTGCTTTATCTGCTGTATTATCTCTCTAGTCCCTAAAAGGCACATTTTTACTTTAAATCAAGCTAAAATGTCAATCTTGCTTTTCTGTTCAGAGTGGAAGGCTGTAAAACCATCTCATTCTGAGGCCAGAAAGATAGCACAGTGGTTAAAGCATTTGTCTTCTATGTGGCCCACCCAGAATTGATCTATGACACCCCACTCCTTGCCAAGAGTGACCTCTATACCCTGAGCAACACTGGGTATGGCCCAAAGCTCTCCAAAAGAAAATCTAATTCTTGTAATACCATATGCCTGTAACATATATAAAATTATAAAATGATGTTACCTCAATAAAACTTTCTTTTAAAAAAACAGAGACCAGGGATCAGAGAGACAGTATAGCTGGTAGGGTGAGGGTACTGGCCTTGTACATGTGGCCAACCCAGGTTCAACGCCCAGCATCCCATACGGCCCCCCAAGTACCAAAAGGAGTGATCCTTGAGTGCAGAGCCTAGAGTAACCCCTGAGCATCACTGGGTGTGGCTCCCAAACAAACAAACAAATAAAATAAAACATAAGGGCCAGGGAGCAGAGGCAGTACAATGAGTAGGATGCATGCTCTACATACAATGGAGCCAGGTTCGATCCTGGGCATCCCATATGGTCCCTTGAGCACTGCTAGGAGTAATTCTTGAGTTCAGAGCCAGGAGTAAGTCCTAAGCACAGTTGTGTGTGGCCCCAAAACCAAAATAAATGGGGAGTGAGGACAATCAGAGAGATTAACAGGAGATTATACAGACGTTTAAAACACATGCTTTGCATGCAGCCAACTGCCAGTCTGACCCCAGGTCCCGCAGAGCCCCAAGCACCTCCAGGTGTAGCCTCGGGAGGCCCCCACACACTACGGAGGTGTCCCAGGAAATCCCCAGCATGCAGGGACCAAGCAGCACCACATCCTCAGGCTCTCACACTGAGCTGCCTGTTGGGCTGGCTAAGAAATGTCAGCTTGCTTGGAAATTCATCCCTCCCTTCACCTCATCCTGCAGAAGAAGGCCAACACTTGCACACACACACATCTAACTCTAGTTTTCATGACAAAGCAATGCTCTTTGTGCTAAGGGGGCCCAGAGTCCAGAGACTGGGACCGTATCCTCTGAAGTGTCACCTCCACCCTGGCCGCTGTCTGATTCTAAGCACCCAGCCCTGGTGCCTGGGGAATGGGCTTGCTGCCGGGCTTCTTCGTTGGGCCCAAGAGAAGGGTTGACTTCCCACCCTCTCCCACAGCTGTATTGGTGAGATTCTTCTCACATCTCTGAGATCCCTTACTCAGAGACTCTGGGAGTTTTCGCCTGCTAGAGCACACTGATGCTGGCACTGCTTTAACTTGTGTTAGTGAAACCACATTCACGTGTCACAAGTGCTCTGCATCAACAGCAACGTCGATGTGATATTAACATCCTCTCACCTGCCAGCACTCTCTGATCGCCGCACCAGGGCAGACATTTCATCGTATTCTCCTCCCCTTCTTTCCCTGGAACCAGGGGCAGGAGCCTGGAGGCTACCCCTTGTCAGGAACAGCAACGGCACGTGAGGCCAGAGCCAGAAGCTGTAGGAGAACCCACTGTGGGCTGCTCAGATGGTGCCCTGGCTTTGGGCGGACCCTGAGACACTAAGGGCACCACTGGGGATGCGGGGACAGCCCAGCTCCCAAGCCTAAGGCTCAAACCTAGATGTCCCTGCCCAGCTGTGTGATCTGGGAGAACTTATTTCTGCTGCAGAATGAAACTAAAACTACCCCCTTCATCACGGGGCTGAAGGCTGGACCCAACACGCGTTAGCTTCCTCCTGCAGATCCAGAATCCACCCCTCTCGCTCTAGCAGCGAGAGCCGGACCCCTGAACACGGAAGGAAGTTAGGGGTTACGGGGCAGCCCCTGGGCACTGGCAAACATATATTCTCTCCATATATACCTCAGAGGGATATCAAGGAGGCTCGTTTCTTAGAGGAAGTCCTGGCCCACTTGGCCTCAGAAATTTGGGTTCCAATGGCTTTTTCCCAGGAGAGGCTAAGGGGGTAGAAAGGGCAGCAGGGGAGAGACATCCCTGCAGCCACAGGGACACCAGGTGGGACAGCTAGGGAGGGCCGACAGCAGGTGCCCAGCTCTGCACGCCCTGAGCCAGGTCCCCAAGAGCCTGAGCCTCAAACACCAATGTGCCACCATTACCCCCAACCGCTCCTTGTCCTCCCTTGACTGGGCCCATCATGAGTGAATCTTGGGAAGGCTCAGGCCCATGTGTCAGCACCGCCACTCCCAGGCGCTTGCGGGGCACTGGGGGTTCTCCCAGGAAGCCACCCACTCACCAGAGGGTTATGGCCACGGACGTTCCTCCACTTCGACACAGGTTCCGCTAACACCTGCAGGGAGGGAAAATGTCAACACGCCCAGCTGGGGTGCACAGCTCTTTCCTCACATTCATAAGGCTCCGTCTGGTCTCTCTCCTGTCCACTAACTAACACAGTTTTACTCCACTGCCTTCTTATGGAGAGCATTTTCCACAATGTAAACAGCTGGAACTCGGGTGGAAACTGGAACTGACTGATGTCACTAGTGCTGAACACCCTGGAACACTCCGCCCTCTCCACATTTTGAGAAGGCATCCTGGGAGGAAAGTGAAGAAATGCCGTCAAAATCTCCAGGAGGAGAGGCAGCCCCACTGAAATCTGCCATGTACGGGTTGGAGAGACAATCCAGGACCTTGCCTTGCACGCAGTCATCCTGAGTTCAATCCCCTATGATCCTCCGAGCCTGCAAGGAGCCATTTCTGAGTGTGGAGCCAGGTGTAACTTAGCCTAAGCACTGCTAGGTGTGGCCCAGAGACCAAAAATAAAAAATAAAATATCCTTTAAAAGAATCTGCCACGCAGGTGCAGTTGTGGATGAAAGGGGACCGAGGGGCAAGAGGGCTTAGGGGGACAGGGGACGCCAGGCCAGGCCCTCTCTGAGCATGCTTAAGGGGCAGGAGAGTAGCACAGGGGTAAAGACACCGTCTTGCTCGTGGCTGACTGGGTTTCCATCCCAGGCACTGCACATCATGAGCACCACCAGGAGGGATCCCTGAGTGCCACCAAATGTGGCTGAAGACCAAAATATAAAAACAAAACAAGACTTTATACTAATTTACTTTCCCAAGAAACCACTAACCCAGGGTTGGTTTTATTTATTTATTTTCTCCTCTGCAGGATTAGGGTTTTGAGGATTTCTTTTGGTAACAGGAATAGGAGCTGGGGGGAGGGTTTGGACCACCACCCAGCAGTGCTCAAGGGACCAAGTGGTGCAGGGATCGAATGAGTGTCTGCCATGTGCAAGGCAAATGCTTTAACCCCTATACTATCTCTCTAGGCCCACGCTGATGACTATAAGGATTAGAAGTTCGCCATCTGGACCGGGGCCATAGTACGGCAGGCAGGGTGCTTGTTTTGCACGCTGCCAACCTGGGTTTGATCCCCGGCACTACATGAGACCCTGAACCTGCCAGGAATTATCCCTGAACCCTGAGCCAGGAGGATGCCCTGAGCATCACCGAGAGTGCGCCCCCCCCAAAACAAAAACATAAACAAAAACAAAACAAAACCAGAGAATGAGAGAGCAGCCGCTCCTGCACCAGGAGCTCAGGGGCTGTGGAAGGTGGAGAGTCGAGATTGGTGCCCAGGGTGGGTGGTAGGCGGACAGAGTGTAATCTCTGTGAGGCCACAGTGCCCCCTAGCCACGGCTTCCAGGACTGACTGAGAGGAGCTCCCCACCTCTTACATAAACTCCGCTCAGCAGCCCTGGGAAGCCCTCAGGGGTCCTTCCAGTTCCTCTCAGCAGGCTCCATACCATCTCTCCAGCTCTCCACCCCTCACCCCGTGGCCCTGGGCATGGAGGTGGGAGAAGCTGCCAGGAAAGGTATACAGGTCAGGGCGCCTGAAACCCCAAGTGCCACATAGGAGCCTGCCCAGGACCCTGGAGCCTGCTCTGTCTCCGTTTCCTCACCTGCACCTCTGCATTGGGGTCACACCCCGCCGTGCTCAGGGGCTACTGGGCTCAGTGCTGGAAATTGCTTCTGGTGTGTGTGTGTGTGTGTGTGTGTTTTAATTTTTACTAGTGAAACAACATGAGGTACAGTTGTAGACTTGCAAATTTTTGTGCTTGGGTTTCAGTTATACAATGATCTGAGACCATCCATTTGGAGCTGGGGCGCCTGCCTTTGGCGCCATCTCCTGGCCAACAGTCACATTTCTCCGGCCCTGTCCTTGCAGCTCCCAGCTGGAGGCATTCTTCCCGCTGGGCCTGCCCTACCCTCTGAGGACCAGCTTCACCAACACCCTGCTTGACCTCAGATGCAGGTCAGTTCGCCACTGGGCATTTCCAGGTCTTCCATCTCTGGTCTAAACCAAGGGGTTTTAAACTTTTTCCCTTTTTCCCCAGCAAGGAGTGAGTGAGCACTACCAGAAACACCTCAGATTCATTTTGAATTGATTTTGGCTGTTGCACATTCAGAAACCTTTTGACTGTTGTCAATGTATTTTTCAGGGGCCATAGAGGCAGTACAGTGGGCACTTGCTTTGCACATGGCTGACCCAGATTCAATCCCCAGCATCACATATGGTCCCCCAGGGCCTCCAAGAGTGATTTCTGAGCATGGTGTGGCTTTGGGGTGTGGCTCCAAAACAAAACAATGTTTTATTTTGCTGTCCACATGTTCAATCTTGCAGGGCAGGCAGAACACGGGTATAAGCCCGGTTTCAAAGTGGGCAAGCCTGCCCTCTGGTGGCCACTGAGACAATTGCTAGTGCAATTGTGGGGCTGGGGAGGAGGGGCAGACTTGTAGTTTGCTTTAAGAAGGCAGATTTCCAGGAGTACTGAGTACTTTTGATTCTGAAAAATGAGCAGTAAGCCAGGTAAGTTTGAAGACTTCTGGCTAGCCCCTCAAATCTTTTTCCTAGGCTTCAAAAAACCTGGGGTTTAGGTTTGTGCTGGGAAGGGTGCAAATGTTCATGCCACCAAGGTCAAGATTTTTTGTTTTGTGTGGGGGCCACAACCAGCCATGCTCATGATCCCATGCTCAGGGCTCACACCTGATGGCGCTCAGGAGCCCATGCAGTGCTGGGTATTGAACCAGCCAGCAAGGCAAGCACCTTAACTTCTGTGCTCTCTTTCTGTCCTTGTGGGACCAAGACTTTGAGATGACTCACAACTGCCTAGGGCCTTGTAGGGCTCATGAAGGATCAAGGCACAGGGCCTTGAAGTAACCCCTCCCCTCTCCCCTCACACCTCTGTGCTGCTTCTCACAACTGTCCTTCTGGCCTGCTTTACAGCAGTGAAGTGAAAACTCTGCATCTGGGCAGGCACAGAGAGCCTAGCCAGCAGCTAGGGGAGGACGGGAACTCCCACATGCCAGCTTCACTGACAAGCCTAAGGACAGCAGACTCAGGCCTCCTGTGGCAATACTTCTCTGCAAAGCAGGAGAGGGACACGCACAGGATAAAGGCTCTAAAGTGTTCACTTTTATTTTTTATTATCCTGCATGCAAAAATCATGAGCTCCAGCTCTTATGAGCTATCTCCCAAGCCTCTAATGTTGCTTAATTTTTGTTTCCTTTTTGTTTTGTTTTGGGGCCACACCTGGCGGTGCACAAGGCTTACACCTAACTCAGCGCTCAGGGGTCACTCCTGGAAGAGCTCGGGGTAGCATATGTGGAGTCTGGGATTGAACCCACACTGGCTACATTCAGGGCAAGAGTCATACATGCTGTACTATCGCTCCAGCCCACTATGCTGCTTACTTTTTTTTTTTTTTGCCAGACCAAACACATGTTAAGTAGAAAACAGAAAAAGAAAAAAATGACAAATATAAATCATATAATTGTATATAATTTGTATATAAATCTATGATAACAAAAAAAAGCCATCAACAGACTCAGGTGTAGAACAAGGAAGAAGGGTCAGTGGCTTGTGCAAAAATAGGTTTTTATCACCTGTAGGGCACTTTTTAGAGATCTGACCATAAATTTTTAGGGATTAGACTACAAATGGTCAAGAAATTATGATGACAGGTGACGCAGACTAATACTCCTGCCTGGGTGTGGGCTCTGGCCATGCTCAGTCGCTGACCTTTCTCACATAAAGATTCTTTTCCTAACCAGAATGGGAGCTCTGGGCCTGCACTGTCCCAAAAAGTAGCCCTGGAGAGAGGCTGCCGCGAAAATGACCCATCAGACAACCAAAGTTTCATCTAGAAACATGACAGGAGAGCTACGTGATGGTTTTTGTAAGATTTCAGGTTAACGGGAAAATATTAGATATCTATTTTGCTAGATACAACATTCTTTTGGAGCCAGAGAGGTAGTACAGCAAGCAAGGTACTTGCATGTGGCACAGTTTCCATCTCCAGCACCCCATACGGTCCCCCAAGTCCCACCAGGAGTGATCCCTGAGCGCAGAGCCAGAAGAAAGCCCTGAGCACTGCCAGATGCACCCCCCCCCACACTAAATAAATAAAACAAAAATAAATAAAATGCCCTTTGTTTTTCTTTTGAAGCTACTAGAAGTTGAACCCTCTATATAAGGCTTGAAGTTGCAATTCATACTGTATTTCTATTGGCCAGTCTATGTATTCTATCAACTACACTATCAAGCTTTTGCGGGTTCCGATGAGCCCAGGGAAATGGACATACCTCAACATCTGTTGTGTTGGAGAAGAATTCCAGGCATGTTGTCTTCCCGCTTGCAATGTTACCCTCGATGCAGATCTGGCAAAAGACAAAAGCAAGTTAGAACCAGGCACCAATTGTTTAGGGAGCATCAGGGAACTATTTCGAAGGAAGGGCTCAATAGAAGCGAAAGCAGGTCAGCCCAAGAGTTCAGAGTACAAAGTAAACGCTCTCCTCAGGACCCCCGCCAAGGTACCACCACTCATAATAATCGTAGTATAATAACATAAACCTCCCTCTTAAACGACCACCCGCCCTCCAACACAGACCTCCCTTATGTCAGCCCCTTGGGATCCCCTAAGGGTCCTAAACTTATCTGGCCGCCTACTGACCCCTTTTCAGAGCAAAATCATTCAGTGAACCCTGGAAATCGACCTTCTTTCCGTGCCTGTCCCTCTATCAGAAGCTCCGACTGTCTCCTCCCCAACCCAGGTCATTCTAAGGTCTCTTCAGAGTGGGTAGCGGGTGGTCACCCACTTTGGGAAACACTGTCCACCACACCTCGCCTGCCCTCCTCCACCTCAGCCCATCCATTCTGTCGCCCCAGACTACTTGACTTCAAGCCAACACACTCTGCCTAACAGCTGTGAGGCTGGGGAGCAAGTATATGATCTGGAAGAGACGTTAGAGCTCTGTGCAGTGACCAGGGTGGCCGGGTTAAGCACCTGGGTGCCAGGCAGGCCCCACGACAGGTTAACTCGTACCATGAGCAACTGGCAAAAGAGAAGCGGATCCTGTAGGTGAGAGCCAAGGCATCAGGCCTGGCAGGTGAGCTGGAATTCACACCTTCTGGTGACAGCAAAGGAGCTTCAGTCACAGCCCACATAACCCTGGGGTGCCCGGGGCTGGAGCACAGGTCCTGCACTCAAGATATCTGGATTCAATCCCCAAACCACACAGTCTCCCAGCACTGCCAAGTACAGAACGGGGAGCAGCCCCTGGGCACTGCCAAGTGTGGCCCGAAAAGCAAAACCAAACAAAACCCATGGGGTGATTGTGGCCTTTCACGTGGCCTGCCCCCGACAAACTCTCCCCCACCTGCTCACAGGTTTCCTGCTAACAAAGGCCAAAGGGTGTCAGGAGGGCTGAACCACCTCACGTCCAACACTGGCAGCATCCTCCACCCCACTCTAACCTCACACCCCATCACCCACTCCTTTACAACCGCAAACCACAAAACAACTCCCAGGGGACCACAAGAGGCAGAGCCCACCAGGGAACGGAGAGATTTGGCTTCCACTTTCCTATTCTCCTGAAGAGGACGCTTTTCCTCTTCTAGAAAATGAGAGACGCACTCAACCAAGACACTCGCCACAGACCTTTCTTTCCTGCCCCTTGCTAGAATGTGATGCTCAGCTCAAGACCTTCCAAAAAAAGCAACCGTTTCCTCTCTGGGGTCCTTGCTTCCAGGACGACCGAGAAGAGACAGCATGACGTCTGTGCTGCGCCCACTGCAGCCGCGTTCTGGTACCAGCTGTGCCCTAGGAGTGCCCGAGGACAGGACCAGAAAGAAGTCCGTTGTCTGGGCCATGGGTGTGGCTAAGCAGTATGAGTGAGGTCCTGGGTTCAGTTCCCAGCACCTCCCTGAAGAAAGTCAAAGATGATGACACCTGTCATTCCAAACCGCTTGGCCCTCTGCCTCCCCCTCAGCCATGTCAAGGAGCTCAGTCCTGAAGGACTGAAGAAAAACTGCCCACCAAGAAAAAGCAGAAAACGGGAGCCACAGTTTCAAAAACAGAGAGACTGCAGGTGGGAGAGGACAGAGATAGGTCAGTGCATAGGGCGCTGCACTGGCACGCTGCCAACCCAGGATCAATCCCCAACACCTCATAGGGTCCCCTGAATCCTACCAGGACTGAGCCCTGAGTACTGCCAGGTCTGATTCAACCTAGCCACCATCCCAATAAATAAAACAATTAAATCAATCACCCTTCTGATTCCCACCATGAAATCCTTGGGATTCAAAGGCTTAAGATTAGCTCAGTTGGGCTAGAGTGATAGTTGCGCTGGAGTGATAGCACAGCGGGTAAGGCTTTTGCCTTCCATGTGGCCGGTCCGGGTTCTATTCCCAGCGTCCCATATGGTCCCCCAAGCACCGCCAGGTATAATTCCTGAGTGCATGAGCCAGGAGGAACCCCTGTGCATCGCTGGGTGTGATCCCGAAAGCAAAAATAAATAAAGAAATAAAAATTTTTAAAAAATTGCAGAATCTGGCAAGCTCCCCGTGGCGTACCCAATATGCCAAATACCAGTAACAATGATGGGTCTCATTCTCCTAACCCTGAAATAGCCTTGAATCTCAGGGCTAGGATGAAGAAGACGTTACTGGGGCCTGCTCGAGGCAATCGACGAACAACAGGATGGTCGTGATCGTCGATGAGCCAGGAATAACCCCTGTGCATCGCTGGGTGTGACCCCCAAAAAAGAAAAAAAAAAGATTATCTCAGCTAGGGTGGAGAGATAGTGCAGCGGTTAAGGTGTATGCCTTGTATGCAGCAGACCCAGGGGCGATCCTGGCATTCCCTATAGCCCCCTGAGCTTGCCAGGCTTGGCTGCTGAGCACAAAGTCAGGAGTAACCTCTGAGCACTACTGGGTGTGGGCCAAAAAACAAAAACCAAACAAACAAGAAAGATCAGCTCAGCCAAGCTACTTCCTGGTTTTCCAGAGAGAACAGGCTGGGTGAAAAAAAAAAAAAAGGATTCAATAAAATTTTTTAAAAAAGCAACTGAGGTTCAGTTCTCCCCCGGTCTGTGCGTGCACAGGAGGCCAAGCCAGCAGGGGGATGGAGCTGGTGGGAGCCCCGCGAATAGGGCTCTGAGGGGCCAGGGGCTCCCCCCCCACACACTCCCGGATGCCAGGAGGTGCCCACCATGTCCCTCGGAGCCTCCTGGAGCTATGGCCAGCAAGACCCATGCCAGTTGCACCTTGCCAGCCGCTACGCAGGTGGCTTGTGGGTCCCCCGTGGGGTGGATGTTTCACTCGGATGACATAAGACTGGCAGCCCCGCTATTACTAGGAAGCTACTGAGTGGAAGTGGCTTTAGAACGAGCGAAAGCCCAGCAGGGAGGGCATTTGCCTCGCATGCGGCCAACCCGGGTTCAATCCCCGGCATCCCATAGGGTCCCCCAAGCCCCGCCAGGAGTGATCCCTGAGTGCAGAACCAGGAGTGAGCCCTTGGGCATGGCCAGGTGTGACCCCAGAAAAAAGCAAAAAAAAAAAAGAATCTTGGAAGCTCTTCACAGTGCTGAATTCAAATCTCCCTGCGAGGGGCCCATTAAGGCATCTTAATGTGGCATTAGTGAGGCAAGGCGGCTGTTGCTTCAATAAATAGGCAGGGGGGCATTTCACAGCCCACCTCTTCCCCCATTTCCGTGACTCCGTGTGACTTTTAAAAATGTTCTTTCTGAGGGTGAGGGGTGGGATGGGAAAGATAGTACAGAGTTAGGGTGCCTGCCATCAACGCGGTGCACCCAGGCATGAGCCCCCAACTCTGCATAGGCTCCCCACTGCATCCCTCCAGCAGGGGTCTCTGAGCACAGAGCCAGGAGTAATCCCTGAGCACAGCTGGTGGCTCCAACACTCCCCTGCCTACAGCCAGTAAGGAGAAATCCCTGAGCACAGCTGGTTTTAACACACACACACTCCCAAGAACCTTTAAAAAAAATTCAGGGGCTGGAGCCATAGCACAGTGGGAGGGCTTTTGCCATGCACGTGGCCGACCCGGGTACGATCCCCAGCATCCCAAAGGGTCCCCTGAGCACCGCCAAGGGTAATTCCTGAGTGCAGAGCCAGGAAGAACCCCTGTGCATCGCTGGGTGTGATCCCGAAAGCAAAAATAAATAAAGAAATAAAAATTAAAAAAAAAAAGCAACTGAGCTAAGGCATCCAAATTACATAAGCCTTATTGAAAATGAATTGATCCAAAATTAAATTTTGCTACATGGATATTGTATATATACATTCAGTGATATACATGTGTGACCTTGTTAACTTAGGATTAGTCTGGGATCTTGATCATTGATTTAAAATAAATAAATAAATAAATAGGGGGGAAAAAAGGGATTTTTAAGAGAAGTGCATACTCATTGAAGAAAAGAGAGAAAAAATGATGGAAGTGAAAACCACCACCCACAACCCTGTGACCATGAGGAAAGCCTTTCCACTCCGCTCAGGCAGTGGCTATTATCTGTACAGATTTCTTGGCAGGCGTCTTCCAACTGCTGGCCGGAGGAACCGCCCAAGCACTTGGGAGTCAGGCCCAGCAACCAGAGTTCACAAGAAAAAGTGTGTATGAGAGAATGTAGCAGGGCTAAGGGGAAACCAGGAAAAATGGCCCCCATGTGTGGGTCAGGAAACACCTGCCGGTTGTGGCATCTGAGTCTGCCAATGACGCACCCCCCCCCCCCCCGCCCCCGCCTTCACTCTGCACTGAGTCCTGCCTTCCAGCTGCTCAAGACTACAGCTAACCTGGCGACGTGAGGCCTCTCCTAGTCTGACTTTTGGGCAGCAACATTTTCCTCTTTTCTGAGAACAGGAGCTAAGTATTTTTTACAGTATTTTTTTACAGTCGGAAATACAGAGAATGAAAAGGAGAAAGTAAAAACCACAGCGTCCCAAGACCGCCATCGTCTGGGATGCTGAAGGAGAAGCAGTCTTTCCAGGGGCAGACAGGCTGACCTCCAAAGCCCCTGCTAGAGGAATCAAAACACACACTGTCCTGGGAGAGATGCTGACAAGGCAGGCCGAGACCTGCACCAATGGCCAATGGCGAATACCTGAGAAAAAGCCTGGTGCGGACCCAGAGAGTCAGTGCAGGGTTAAGGGGGCTGCCTTGCACGCAGCTGACCTGGGTTCAATCCCCAGCACTGCATGTGGTCCCTCCTGAGCACTGCCTGGAGTGATCCCTGAGCAGAGTCAGGGGGAAGTCCTGAACTGGGTGTAGCCAAAAAAGCAAATAAGCAAGGGGGGGGGGGGGGGAAGAGAAGGGAAGCATGGTCCATTCACAACAGAATTATTCCACACAAAAAAGGAAACTACGTAGGATAAGGACAAGCCAGCACCCTCAACCCCTTGGAAGTCCTTGCCCTGGACTTAGTACCCCAGTGACTCCCATGTTCTGGGTCCAGAGGTAAGGCGTCTGCCCCTCCCTGCTGGCCTCTCTGCTTCCAGGCTGGCCTGACCCATGTCCCACCCTCTTCCCGAGAGTAAACCCCATATCCCAGGTGAAGTGCTCCAGAGCCGCTCAGTACAGTCGCCAGTCCACCTGCACTTCCGCCGCCCACCTGTCAGCTCCCTCTCTGGGGGACACATCTCCTTCTGTTGTGATGTGTGCTGGCAGTTCACTCTGCTCAAGGGTTTCTGCCCCTTCCTCCCTTCTCTCCCCCGGCTCCCAGGTGGCCTGAGGCTCTCCAAAGCTCCCCCAGTTCCTGTCCCCTGGCACCCCACCATGTGATACCTGCCATCTCCCCGCCGACCACAGCTTGCAAATGACAGGAGCGCTCCGGTTCCCAGGTCCACGGGGCAACTCAGAGGATTCCGACAATTAAGAGTCATCCTGGTGGCCTGAATGCAGACCCTCACCCCCACCCCCGCCAGACTCCATGTCTGGGAGAACACCAGACCACACCTGGGGCAGGCTGGCACAGAGATGGACAGTAAATAATCAACAGTGTGTTCATGCGTTAGTGTCCTTCCAGTTCAACCTAGACTTTCACTTTCCCGTCACACCAGTTCCTGTGGGCCTGTCCAAATCTTCCACCCACCATCTGCAGGGCTCCGGCCTGCTCTTCCTGCTCATCTGCCGAGCCACAGGACCCACTGACTTCCAGCTCCCTTAACAATCAGGGCTTCCAGGTGAAACACTGTTCTCTGATGCAAGCTTGTTACAGGTCCCCCAAATCACCACGGGCCTGTCCCATCTGGCCCTCCTCTGACTTCCTCTCCTGCCAGACACAGGTGCTACCCAGAGCTGGCAGCTCAGACACTGCTCTAGTCCCACCTGTCTAGATTCTCTTGTTCACCACTCTGAGGGGAGGGGACAGCATGTCCCTCACACACAGGCCACGACCTGCAAAGCCAATCTGAGACCAACTTTCCACAAACAGCTTGTTACAAACTCTTGGCAAGTTACAAACTGGTCCTCAAACCTTAAGCTTTCAGTCCATACTGATCTAGAGGATCATAACACATATATGCAGGCACTCAGGAGGGGCATGCAAGAAGCTGGCGACAGAGATGGTCTCTGGAGAGGTCTGTGTGCGTGTGTGTGTGTGTGTGTGTGTGTAAGAGAGTAAGAAAGAGATCACTTACCACTGACTTTTTTTCTTTCTCATTTCCTCTGTCTTCATCTACAAAAGACAAAAAACAAACCAAACAAACAAAACAAAAAATCAGTTTTTAACTAGGCTCGAACTTGTGTTTCTCCCCAGGTGCTAAATCCACACGGTTTTCAGTCAGCCCCCAAGGAAAAGTTTCTCCCTTCCCCCATACCGGAGGCGGGAGGGCGGGGCGGGGGTGAAGGGGGCGCCGTGGTGGGGGGGGGGGGGGGTCTGCTTATATGACAGTGGCACATCTGCGCCTTCTCTGTGCTCAGATCTTCTTTTTCAGTTCCCAGGGAAGAGCCAGGCTTCTCCGAGAAGCGGGCACAGAAGTTAACTGGCAGAGACGCGGGCACAGGACAAGGCGGCGGCGGTCGCGGCGTTTGCATTTGGGGCGTCTCCTCTAGGCCGTGGGTGCCCACCCACCCACAGGTGATTCAGAATAGGCGCCTCTGCACCAGCTCGGGCCAGAGCGCTCAGTGAACGGGCGGCAGCGTCCCCGTCCAGAAAGGGGTGAACCCCGAGGCACTCCGCACCCGGAGCCGCCCGCCCCCCCCCCCCCACATCCCGCCGCGTGGCTGGTTAACTGCAGCGCCCACCCACCCTGCGGGGACCGGGGAATGGGGCCGGGCGTGGGGCCGACCCCGCCGGTCGGTCGGTAGCGGGGGGTTCCTTGGGGCTCTTACCCCCAGCAGCCACCAACCCCAGCGTCGGGGCAGGGCGCGGGCCGAGGCCGCCCCGCCCCACTCCACGCCCACGGGCGCTGAAACCCCGCGGCCGGCGCCCGGGCTGGGGGGCCGGGAGGTGCGCGCGCAGGCGGCGCGGGGCGGCGGGGCCGGCCGGACCCGACGGCGCGAAGACCCGAGCCCCGGCCCCGCGCAGCGCCCGGAGCAGCATGGCGGGCGGCGGCGGGCGGGTCCTGCGGGCGCCGCCGCTTCCTTTCCGGCCCGCCGCTCTCTTAAAGAGACCCGCCGCCGCCGCGGCGCTCGCCCGGACCCGCCTCCTGCCGCCGCGCTCGCCCGGACCCGCCTCCCGCCGCCCAGGCCGGGCGGAGATCAGTGAGACCCGGGCTTCGCGATTCCTTACGGCCGCCCTTTGCGCCTTAGCACCCTGCCGTGCCGTCTATTCCGACCCCCGACACCCCCCCCCCCCAGCCCACTTTTTCACCCCCGCCCCTTCCTCGCTTAAGTTCAGAACGGCCAGATGCCGGGGGAGCCTGGATATGGCTCAGTGGTATACCAGTTGCCCCGTATGTGTGAGGCCCAGGGTTCCATTCCCCGGCATGGCAATTAATTAATTAATTAAGCTGGGTTTGTGTGTGGGTAGTGTTAGCATCACAAACTTTGCCATCGTGCTTTTCTTATAAGCCTCCCTGGCCCACCCCTCCAGGGGCGCATGGAACCCCACCTGGTGTGCCCCACCCCCAAATCAATTAAAATGATCAGAAGCCTTCATTGGGGAGTGGGGTATAGTGTGACCCGCTATCATGGAGTCTTGCTTCACAGCCGTGGCCTGAATTGGAAATATGCTAGACACGACAGGACTGCAGCACTGTAGCACTGTCCTCCGGTTGTTCATCAGCTTGCTCCACCGGGCACCAGTAACATCTCCATTGTGAGACTTGTTACAGTTTTTGGCATATCGAATAACACCCCCCTCCCCCCCAGCTTTCCAGGCTCTGCCATGTGGGCGGGATACTCTCGGTAGCGTGCTGGGCTCTCTGAGAGGGACGGAGGAATCGAACTCTACCCGCTGTGCTATCCCTCCCTCCAGCCATGACATGACTAGGGTTTTGAAATGTACGTGACACAACCATCATCGCAAATGAAGGGATTAGGGGGAGTGAGGAAGTATGTGGATCCCTTCCACAGTCATTTTTAAAATGCAGCCCAAGTGTGATGATGTGTTTGGAGCACGAAGGTGTTGCTGCCAGGGAAGGTGCCCAGGTGGCTTCTGTGAAGTGGGGAGGAGAAACATGGCAGCCTGGGGGAGGAAGTCTGCTGCTTCCCTCTGCCCACCTCTGTCACCAGGAAGTGCCTGAGAAATTTAGGACAGATTGAGTTTGCTGTAGTGAGAGACCCCTGCACTGCGCTGACAATGCTCACTTCATGCCAGCCCCACCAGGCAGCCATCAAGCTGCGCTTGATGTCCACTTGGTCTGCGTGGCCTGGGAGATGACCCCTGCCACCGGATTTCTTGGAGAACTGTGGACTCAGGTTGAATGAGGAATTGCTCTTTGCAGGAAACGAGTCATTCCTAGTTTTACCCAGGCATTTGGGGTCTGTTGTCTTGGCTTCAGAGGAAAGAATTTCAGCAGTACAGTGGGTAGAGCATCTGCCTGGTATACGGCAAACTGGGGTTCAATCCCACATGGTTCCCTGAGCACTGCCAGGAATAAGCCCTGAGCTTAGAACCTGGAGTGAGCTCTGTGCACTACTGGGTGGGGCCCCAAAACAACAAATTTTAGAATAGTTAAGCAGCTTTTATTTACAGATTTTTGAGGAAGAGGGCTGTGTGTGTGTGTGTGTGTGTCTGTGTCTGAGAGAGAGAGAGGGAGGGAGAGAGGGAAGGAGGAGAAGGGTATTCAAGAGAGAACGTGGGTTTCTCCCGGGGCAGAGAGAGCTGAGTACACATCTCAGGTGGAGATGCAAACTGGTGAGGCATGCATTTGCGTTGACTTTGTAGGTTTCCTCCCAAACTGCACTTTCTACCTGATAAGCCTGTTGCTAGGGTGGCTGTCAAGAAGAATTTGAAACTTTCGAAGGCCCTCTTCAATGTTCTTAATACTGCTCAGATTTCTCTTGAGGGAGAAATCTCCTTTTCCAGACCTGCACTGGTGCCAGTTAAAGTCTTATCATGTCTCAGTTTCTGTGTACACAAAATAGGTCCAGCAACAATGCTTTTAGCTGCTTAGGGATAGTGACAGTAACTTCAATTCCATCTCTTGGTTTTATTACTTCCTGAGAGCTCATCACCAGGTCTCCCTCCCTCCCCCACATCCCACCTCATGTCTGTCTCTTCTATCTCTGTGTGTCTATGTGTCTGTGTCTGTGTCTGTATGTGCATGCTCGTACATGCACTCTCTGGGGATGCATATGTAGCAGTCACCTCTTGAGTCCCTAGAGTGAAGAAAATCACCCGAAAAACATCCACTTCACCTCTACATCTGTAACCGGAAAACCTCAGCTCTTGTACTTCCTGTGATATGCATCGCAGACCTACAGGGCAACTTCAGGATTAGTTCAACAGCGAGTGAGGGACCTGCTCGCCACAGTTAATTGTGTGGAATGGACTATGGCTGGAACAGTAAGGATTCTGAAATCTGCACATACGGGGTGATGTCCAAGTGATCCAAAACCGAATCTCAATCACTTGTGAAATAAAGTTGAGCACAAGTTGAATTTTCAGAGCTTAAGCCTGCCCCCATTGGGCTGTGAAAAGTAGTGTCACCCCAGGCTACTTACATTTAAATTTCACACACACACACACACACACACACACACACACACACACACTCAAGGAAAGGACTTGAAGAAACCAATAGCCAAATTGCTGACCAACAGCCACTTAACCAAAAATAAAAATCATATATAGCTCCACTTTCATTTCCTCACTCATAGAATGGTTCCTGGTTCAGAGACAACAATTTCAAATTCAAAATAAGCATTCCTGTGCAACCAGGATGTTAGCAATTGCCCCAAGCCCTTAAAGATAAACGATTTGTTACTCTAACAATTACTTTACAATGAAACCCAGAACAGGGGAAGGGGAACTCTCTCTGGGTTGGTTCCTTCCTCCTGTCGGCTCATTAAACTCAGAAAAATAAAGCGTTGTTTTTCTTCTTCTCCAGGCAGCCTTGATACTTTATTTTGGTTGGCATACATCAAAGCAGGCCTACTACATATTCCTGAATAGTTGCAAGACAGCTGTATAATTAAGGTTCTTGCTAGCATACGACCCACTCTGGTTGGGCCCCCAGAACCCCATAGGGTCCCCAGAGCACTGCCAAGTGTGATCGCTGAGCATAGAACCGGGAGTAAATCCTGAGCACCACGAGGTGTGCCCCCCACCCAACAACAAAAAAGTTGTAAGATGGTGGAACCATAGCTTCATAGGACACTTGTGAGAAATCTGGGTTGAATTAGGGCGTTTGCCTTGCACGCAGCCAACATGGCCAACTCCAGTTCGATTCTTCCACCCCTCTCGGAGAGCCCGGCAAGCTACCGAGAGTATCTCGCCCGCAGGGCAGAGCCTGGCAAGCTACCCATGACGTATTCGATATGCCAAACACAGTAACAAGTCTCATGATGGAGACGTTACTGGGCCAGCTCGAGCAAATCGATGAACAACGGGAGGACCGTGACCGTGACCATTAAGAGCCACTATGCTATGGGTCAGAATGCGCCAGTGGGAAGCAAAACATAAAAATATCAACTAGGAGCCAGAGAGATAGTACAGGATATAAAGCACATGCCTTGCAAGCAGCCAGCCTGGGTTCCACCCCAGCACTGCATACGGCTCTTCCCCGTAGCAGTCAGGGGTCACCCCAAGCACAAAGCCAGTCCCTGGACCCTAATAATAACAAAATACATAAGAGGGAGCGATGGTGGCTACTCCGGATGCAGGGAGCCAGGGACATCCTAAGTAGGTGGCATTTGAGATGCTCCGATGATCTGGGGTAGCATGAGTCCTTCCTCCCTCTTTCCCATCGCAGGCGGTTCCTGGCAGGGAAGAGTCTCTGGGTCTGGAAGGCTACTGTCACGATGCCCACTGGGCGGGTAGAAATCCCGTTAATTCTCAAGCCGGCAGCAGCCGCCGAGGACGCGAGCTCAGTGCGCATGTGCGCGGCTGAGCTGGGCGGGGCGGGGCGCGCATGCGCGCGTGAAGGCGGGATGCGAGAACTGCGGCGCGGCTAGGCTGGGTCCACCGTACCCGCCAGGCTGCTGGAGGCGAGCCTAAGGGGAAGTTCAGAGGCTGGCGCGGAGGTTCTGCAGCCTCGAAAGCAAGGGAAACGAACAATGAAAGGAAAGCTGCGGCCCTTCTGTTTCAGCGTGAACGGACGCATGAAGATGATGCGGCTGGTAAGGGGCAACCTGCAGGGCCCGATCACGCCTGAACTGTGCCCCGAAAGTGGGTGCCCCCTCTTGCAGTCGCCTTGTCAAGGCCCAGGAGGCCGGGCACTCGGCTCTGCACCTTGGGGGAAGGAGAGAAAGAGGCTCTGCCGGTCCAGGTTACCGGCATACCCAGAAAGCAGCATCTCAGAGGTACCAAGACCAACTGCCCCCGTACAGTGAGTGGGATAACTCAGAAGCCAACAAGATTTAAACCAAAAAAAAAAAAAAAAAAAACCAAGAGAGACTAAGTTTGGGGCTGGTGCCTAGTGTCCTTACGGTAGGAAGAAGCGAGATGGAACCCAGGTCCTAGGAGATTCCAGGTTGTTTCGGGGCAGCAGACAGAGCAGGAGCTGGTGCTGCTCCGGAACTAAGTTCTGGAAAGAGGAACCTCTGCTTCTTTGCAGAGAAATGAATCGTCATTTGGAGGTAGGTAGGCTGGTCCCTGGGGAGAGTGCAAATCATCCCAGGAGACCAGAGATGCCAGAAGAGAAAAGAGGAAGACAGTAACTCTTTTTTGTTTTGGGGGCCACACCTGGCTGTGCTCAGGCATCACTCCTGGGATTGCTAGGGAAGGACCCCTCTCTCCAACGTCACCGGCCATGTGCAAGTCAAGTGGCCCTACACAATGTACTGTCTCTCCAGTCCAGTACTTTTCTTTCTTTATAGGTGGAGCCTGGCAAGTACCCATGGCGTATTCGATATGCCAAAAATCAGTAACAATAACAGGTCTCATTCCCCTGACCCTGAAAGAGCCTCCAATACGGCAGCGTTGGGAGAGACGACCAAGGAGAGGCTGCTAAAATCTCAGGGCTGGGACAAATGGAGACATGACTGGTGCCCGCTCGAGTAACTCGATGAACAGCAGGATGACAGTGATACAGTGATATAAGTGGTGACCTGGGGAAAGCATCAGCTTATATTTGGGAAGTTCCCCAAATGAAATTGCCACATAAGAAGACAGGCATGTCCCAGGTAGCAAAAGTAGCAAAAGTACCAGGCACAGTAGTGCTTCTGTTGTATAGGCCAGTCCAACTTCAAGTTGGAGAACAAATCTCATCCAAAGTTCTTTTCTCACCCAAAGCCTGAAGTTAGAGGAATAACTGTAGCATCACACATGACAAAAGATGCAGCAGTGTCTTCAGTTGGGAGTAAATAATCACGGAAGAAGTCACCAGGAAGGTTGGGCTTTTATGCCCAAGTACTGACAGAAAGTACTCGAGCAAGAAAAGAGGATTTGGTGAGAAAGGTTTTGTTTTCGACATATTGGTTCTCTCAATAGTTTGAGTGTTTAATGCACACCCAGATCTGAGTTCAAACTTGTAGAAAGAAAAACAGTCAATGCAGACACTTCTGATTCTGTAGGCAGAGGAGAAGAGAGCTGGAATTCATGAGAAGAGGGAGCTGGTGCCCAGTGTGGGACATCTAGCCAAGGAAGAGATACAGAGAGGTCAAGTCAAGAAGTTCCAGGAGACTGGAAAAATAGTACAGTGGGGAGGGTGCTTGCCTTGAATGCGGCCGACCCAGGTTTGATCCCCAGCATCCCATATGGTTCCCTGAGCCCCACCAGGAGTGGTTCAATAATGCAGAGCCAGAATTAACCCCTGAGCATCACCAGGTATGATCCAAAAAGCCAAACAAATAAGGAAACTTCCTAGAGGAACTTAGCTTGATGCTTTAGAGACAGTCACCTGAGCTAAATCCTGGAATCCAAACACGCCAGGCTTTAGGCATCCACTTCTTATGTTGAGTATCGCATTTTTTTTTTCATTCAGCAAACTCAGCAAAGTCTGCCACAGGCCAGGCATTATTCCAGGGCCTTGAGAAAGAGCAATGGGAAAACAAACCAAGATGGCTGCACTCATAGAATTTATAGTCAATACAATCGTTATGACTGAATCATGTCCATATTCTAGAAGGCAGCAGGTGCTCTGACCCATGAGAAAAGAAATGGCAGATCAGGGAGGATATGGAGGCAAGAGGATTGAGGTTAGGCCTTCTTGAGATGCCATCAAAGCAATAATTCAGTGAGGTAGCAATGAGAATACCTAAAGGAAGAAGGTTTTAAGACACAAGGATAATAAAGCGCAGTGCCCTCTGGTAGGTGTGTACCTGAGGGATTCAGAATCAACAAAACAAGTGTCTAATCACAGAGGGACAGGTTGGGAGATGGAGGAAGGTTTTGACTAAATTAACATATGATTAGCTTAAAAATTTACCTAGGGTTGCCGGGGCAATAGTACAGTGGGTAAGGCACTTGCCTTGCATGTGACTTAGAGGTTCCATCTCTGGCACTGCATACGGCCCCCTGAACCCCACCAGGAATGATCCCTGCATGCAGAGCCAGGAGTAAACCCTGAGCACCTCTAGATGTGACCAAAAAATAATCATCTGTATCACTTGTCATCCCGTTGTTCATTGATTTGCTCGAGGGGGCGCCAGTAACATCTCCATTTGTCCCTGTCGTGTGCTAGCATAACCCAATGATGTATTTTTTTTAATTAAAAAAAATTTAAGTAAAATTTTTAAAAACACACACAAAGGGAAACTAAAGATTTCCTCGGTTATTAAATACAAACAATCTGCAAAGTAACTAAATGAGTGTCTGCATATGCACAAGCTCTCTAAAGCCTATTTTTTAAAAGTGGGTCACAACCAAGGATAGGGTCACATAAAATTGTGGGAGTTGCAAAAAAGTCTTTAAATGTTGTTTTAAAATAAATTCTCTTATGCTGTTATTAGTAAATTTTTAGTTTGTAAACCTATTGTATAGACCTATGTACCCACGTAAGAATTTCCCAGATGAGAAGGGGTGGCGAGTGGACCAAGTTTACAAAGCCCCACACTAAACGCAAGCGTGCACAGCACACCAGATATTCTGATCCTTCGATGGTTGTGTATATGCAGACACTCATTTAGTTATTTTGCAGCTTCAGTTTGTATTTAATAACTGAGTAAATCTTTTTCTTCATAGGCACTGACTGTGACATCTATGATCTTCTTTATCGTGGCACAAGCCCCTGAACCATACATTGTTGTCACAGGATTTGAAGCAGCTGCTGTTTTATTTTTCATAATTTTATATGTGCTCAGACTTGATCACTTAATGGACTGTTTGTTTTGGCCTTTGCTTGTAAGTATTTCGTTTCATCATTAACATTAACGACTTTTTCCTGCTGTAAAGATACCTTTAAAGAAACTTTGGTTTCTAAAGCTTTTAAGATCCTCTCCAATAGGCTTAAAAAGGAGGAACTCTCTCCTCTGATCATATGCTCGGAATGTTCCCCAGGACAGCCACTGACCATATTTTTTCCTCCCACTAGTACCTATAAGTAGATCTGACTGATCTTTCAGGAGAACTCACTTCAAGCTAGGTCATCCAGAATTATTTATTTATTTATTTATTTATTGTTTGGGGGCACACCTGGCATTTCTCAGGGTTTATTCCTGGCTCCTCTTGCTCAGTGATCACTCCTGGCAAAGATGGGGTATCATGGATTGAACCTGGGTTGGTCGCTGTACTATCACTCTGGTCCCTAAAGTTTAAGATCATGATGAATAGCTGTGGATCTGACTCAGATGGGTTGAGTCACATGCAGGAGCCCCAGCTTCTATTCCCGGCCCCACGCGGTCCTCTGAGCACACAGCTGGGTAGGGCATGAAAAAACACCCAAAACAAAATATCACAGTTAAACTTAGTCCTGTACTAAGTTCCTCCTCAGTTGGGGAGTTTCCTTCTCTTTCCCTCTGGTTTCTAATTAACCTTTCAATTTCCAAACAAACCAACAACAACCAAATATCATGGTTAATAAAATTACAGAGCATTCTTTGTCTCCCTTTTCCTTTGTTATTTGCTGTTTTTTTTTTTTATCTTTTTAAATGCGTGTTGATGTGGCTTCAAAATTGTGGAATAGAGTTGGAGGCAAGTATACAAGTATCTATATCTTGCACATCTCTGATCAATAACGGTCACGGTCTTCCCATTGTTCATCGATTTGCGCGAGCGGGCCCAGTAACGTCTCCATCGTGAGACTTATTGTTACTGTGTTTGGCATATCGAATACATCACGGGTAGCTTGCCAGGCTCTGCCGTGCGGGCGAGATACTCTCGGTAGCTTGCCGGGCCCTCCGAGAAGGGCGGAGGAATTGAACTCCGGTTGGCCATATTGGCTGCGTGCAAGGCAAACGCCCTACCGCTGTGCTATGCTCGGAAAATCAAAAGTCAGGAGACTGAATAAAGCACAACCTAATCTTTTGGTTTGGGTTTGTTTGTTTCTCTGTTTTGGAGCTATGCCTGGTGATGTTGGGATATGAAGCACAGATTTTTGTATAGATACCTATAATCAATAATGATAAATCATTTTTAATTCATCTGGGAAACCTTATTTAGTAGCATATGAACTTCATTTGTCATATCCACAGCGTTTGCCCCGTCAGAACTGCCCAAATGGTCTGGAAACAAAATAGACGAATTGATGGGGACAGAGCAATAGTACTGTGGGTAGAGGGCTTGCCTTACATGTGACTGACCTGCAATTGATCCCCTGCATCCCATATGGCCCCTGAGTACTACCAGGAGTATATTCCTGAGTGCAGAGCCAGGAGTAAGCCCCAAGCAAGGTTGGGTGTGCCCCTACCGCCAAAAAACTTTTAAAAAAATAGGCAAGTTGAAGGTATATTAGTAAAGGTTTACAGGACCCTTCAGCCTGCACTTGAAGCTGTTGCTAGGAAGAAACTGAACAACTTCACCTCTCTTTCTGGTTTAACCTCCAGCACCTCATTTCCATAGACTCACCCTCTGCTGCCATTGGCTGAACTGGCTGCTCGCTTTTCCTCCTCTGCTGCACTCTCTTCCTGTTCGGTTCCTAAGTGCTAATAGCCAAGCCAATGACCCCTAAGAGGAGAAAACATTAGTGCAATTCTCAAACATAAGTGTAACTTCAGATGCTATCATCTAGGCCACCTTTAAAAGTCTAGGAGGAGCATTTCAGGTTAATTACAAACTGGGAAAATCCTCAGAGGGAAAAACTGGGAAATGGATCTCCTCTAAATTCCCACTCTACCTAGAGGGAGGTTTAAGGGAAGCTTTGCAACACCTTCCTTAGTTGGCCCTCAGAGTACATAATCCCATTTTAGATGCAGGAAGGGCTGATCTAAATTTTACTTGAAGGATATGGTCCATATCCTCTTCACCTTGTATTTTTAAAATTGTGTAGTAGCTCCTTGCATTCTGATTTTTCAAGGGATGATAAAATGACACATTTTAGGATTGCCTTTGCTCTAAATGGTAATAATTCTTTGGAGCTTTTTACTTGTACAGGCAGTACACTTGGAGTCTTGAGTTTAACAAGATTTAAAGGGGAACTGAGCAATAGTACAATGGATAGGGCACCTGCTTTTACAAGGTGAACTCAGGTATCCCATATAGTCCTCAAGAGCTGCCAGGAGTAATTCCTGAGTGCCAGTCCAGGAGTAAGCCCTGAACATTGCTGAGTATGGCCTATCTCCCCCAGAAAAGCAATAAATAAATAAATAAATAAATAAATAAATAAATAAGGGGCAGAAGAGATCACTATAGCATGCTGAAATACTATCCCTCGAAGGTCAGACTTTTACACTCAATCTTGCAGAAATGGTGCTAATATAGTCAGCTAAGTTAATACCCTGTGAGGAAATCTGCATTCCTCCCTGCTCTTGATCTAATGAAATCATTTATTCAAAAGATGTTAAGGATTTGCTAGTCCTGGGTTCTTGAAAGGGTATGTCTGTCAGACAGAATATAAGCCTTGCATCTGGGTAGCTTTCAATGGAGCCAAGAAGTAAGATCAGTGAGCAGTTCTGTGCCATAAGCTGCATACCAAGGAGGAGGAGGAGATGAGCAGCCAGGGAAGGGAACAAAGTCATAATAAACCTTCATCCTGAGGCCCCGAGGATGGAGAGCAGTGGGCCACAGACTGGCTTTGGTAGTCCTGGGAGGGGAAGCAGTATGTGTGAGCATCTCAAGGGAGAAAGTGCACGATCCTAAGGGGCATGCAAGGTAGCTATGAACGGCTAGAATACTGAATTGTGAAGATCAAGGGACACCTGAGAGGCAGTAGGGAGCAGGTCAGAACAGGCAAGGATATTTTTGTCAATATAAAGTGATTATCATAAAGTATATAAATCAAAATAATTTGCATAAACTAAAAACACACTTTACCCTTCATAAATGGCTTCATTTTGGAAAGTTTTTTTTCATTTTGAGTATTTTTTTTTTGGCTTTTTGGGTCACACCCGGTGGTGCTCAGGGGTTATTCCTGGCTCTGCACTCAGGAATTACCCCTGGCAGTGCTCAGGGGACCATATGGGATGCTGGGAATTGAACCTGGGTTGGCTGCGTGCAAGGCAAACGCCCTACCCGCTGTGCTATTGCTCCAGCCCCCATTTTGAGTATTTTTGCTGTTGAACTTTCAAGGATTTTGTACCCTGCTCTGGGTTTTAACCAAAAGACCATTGAAAACTTTGTAACATTTTAAGTAAGAGAGTAGCATGATCTTGGCATAATCATCAACTTAACAGTTTTTATTTGTGCTTTGTTATGTTTTTGTTTTTTTGTTTGTTTGAAGCCAGACCTGGTGGTGCTCAGGACTTACTCGTGGCTCTGTGCTCAGGGGACCATATACTGTGCTGGGGATCAAAACCAGGATCAGCCATATGCAAGATAATCAAACACCTTAATCCCTTGTACTGTCTCTCTGTCCTTCAGTTGATAATTTAAATCATTGGTGGCACTATCAGTAATGGTTTGAAGAACAAAACTAGAGGTAAGTCTCAGAGATCACAGAAAAGTTTGCTGGCATAATTCAGGCATGAAAACAATAAAGGCCTGAGCTAAGTTGATAACAGTGACTGGAGAGAATGGGAGTGTTGATGAAGTAGAATTGATAGAACTGGGTAACTAAAGATGATCGAAGATACTCTCTATTTCATTATCTTGATAGGCTAATGAGGTAAGAACAGGTTTAAGCAGGGGTCAGGCAAGTCATATGGGAGTCAGTTTGTGAAATACTGGGTTTTTCTCTACTAATGGGAGATACAGATAGAAATGAAATGTTCAGAACAGATCTGTGGTGTGTATACTGCAGCTTTGGTGCTCTTCAATTTGTGACACAGTAAAAGAGCTTCAGAACTGACCTAATTGGCTCGAAGAGAAAGTAGAACAAGCTAAAAAGTAAAACTGGAAATACCAACATGGAGGAGACTGAAGAATTCAAGGGAGACCCCATTCACAGGAGTGAGGAAAGCAGTGCAAAAAGGAAGGCCGGGACTGTGATTTGGAGATGATGCACTTGCTTTGCAATGTGAAGTCCTGATTTTAATTCCCAGGGCCACATGGCCCCCCAGATACTCCTGGAAGCGACCACTAAGTACTGCCAAAATATGGCCCTTTCCCTCTCCCTCCCCCACCCCACAAAGTATGCATTTAGGGGCTGGAGAGAGAGTGCAGTGGGTAAGGTGCTTGCCTTGGCTAATTTGGTCCCCAGCAATCCCTATAGCCCCTGAGCCCTATCAGGAGTGATCCCTAAGCATCACTGGGGGTGGCCCAAATCCTGCTACCCCTTAGAAAGAAAAAATGATGGATTTAGCCTTGGCACAGGAGTAGAAGGGAAACTCAAGAAGAAAAAAGTGGTGAATCATATCACATAGAGAGAAAAATGAGTCACAGATACAGATATTTCCTATGAATAGAGGCAGTGCAGGGAAGGAAAGGGCTGTAATTTGGGCCATGACTGAGTTGGAGGCAGCAAAGAAGAGAATGGCAGAGTGGCAGGAGGCAATGGGGGTGGGGCACAGCTGGGAAATGGGCAAGAGGACACAAAGACAATTGAATCTTCCAGTGGAGGAACTCCTCTATGAGGGCCACAGTCTGTGCTACTCAGGAAGGGCTCGGTTGGCTCCCGTTGACTCTGTCACAGGCTCTGGCATTCCAGAGTTGTAGTAAAGAGCCCAGACTGTCAAACAATCTTTTTCTGACTGCTCCCTCTAGTACACGAGTGACAGAAAACACAAAATGACCCAGTCCAGGCTTTGCACAGATATCTGAGTACCTACTATAAAATGTCCAGTTTTTAATAATCATATTTGTGTTCTACTCCATGACAAATCCACGTTCACTTTTGAATCTAAAAACTTGTTTTCGTCCTCTCCCCTCTCACAGAACCAGGCAAGCTACCAAGCCAGACACAGTAACAACAAAGTCTCCAATGGAGACATCACTGGGCCCGCTCGAGCAAATCGACGATCAACGGGAGGGCCTTTACCTTTTACCTATTGAGAGCTATTGATGCTTCAGAGATGGTATATTCAATCCCCTTACACCTCTACACCTCTCCCATAGATCTCACATCCCAGAACCCCACTTTTATCCAAAGCCTTTCATAGGCACAAATCATCTCAGGAGGCAGGACTGCCTGGACAGGCAGTGGAGGTGGGGCCTGCTGCCTGGAAGCCGAGCAAAATATCCAGCACAATGCCAAAAATATCCATTGTTTGGCACTGACAGCCAGTCTCAATATTGCCTTCAATTAACTCCATTCTGAGCAAGATGGCTCTACTCTTGTCCTGTCTGTCCTCCTCTTCCTATATTCTTTAAAACAACTTTGCTAAATTGCTAGAGCTCTATCGTTTGATATTTCTATTCACAACCTACCTGCATTTGGCTACAAGTGCACAGAAACTATTATAGAATAAAGATAATTTGCCTTTCCCAAGCTCTGTATACAACCATTCAAATGTAAGTTACACCTCTTAAAGCCACTGTTTAGGAGGAAAATGCCTTATTGCAAGAACTTATACAATAAATGAACTCCATCAATAGAAATACTAAAACTGGCCAGTTGCTGCAGACAGGTGGGATTTTTTTCCTGAAAATGACCACCTACATCACAGTAACGCTATGAAGTTGTTCAATGAACATGTTTTCTCTCATTATTAAAATTGAGCATTCGAACTTGCCAGTATGCCATTCTATCTTCCGCCATCCTCATAATTTTCCACTTTCCTAACTAGGTCGGATCTCCCTCCAACTGCAGTTAAGTAAGAGAGAATTATACCTGTTGATTAAAAGATGGGTATATCAGAAGTCACCAGAAGCACTGGGTATCATAGTAGCCCAAATACAGTAGAAGCATCATTTTTCTGTGGCAGTTTGATTTCCTAAAAGATAAACACCAGGAGGACCAGAGAAACGGTGTTTGTCTTGCCTGTGGCCAATTCAGGTTTGATCCACACCATCCCATATAGTCTCCCAAGCACCACCAGGAGCGATTCCTGAGTGCAGAGCAAAGACTAACCCCTGAGCATCACTGGGTATGACCCCAAAATAGAACAAACAAAAAGATAAACAGCAGGGCCAAAGAGATAGTACAGCAGTTAAATCTCTTGCCTTGTACACAGCTCACCTAGGTTTGATCCCCTGTACCACATATGGTCCTCTGAGCCCTGCCAGTGGTTATCCTGAGCATCACCGGGTGTGACCCAAAAAACAAAAATGATAAACACCAAATAAATGCATTTAATTAAATGAAACTTGCAATATCTTTAAGAAGATGATTGTGTGTGTGTGTGTGTGTGTGTGTGTGTGATCTTCATAAAAAAACTGATCCACATGGTCCCCTGAGCACTGCCAGGAGTAATCCCAAGCACAGTGCTTAAAAAAGCATCTGAACACAACCACAGAGGACATCAATGTGAAAATAAATAAAGCTGATCCTTCTGTGTTTTCAGGATATTATCAACTCAGTGGTATCAGCAATATTCACAATGATTGTATCTGTGTTGGCACTGATACCAGGAAACACAACAATTACAGTTCTTGGAGGGGTAAGTGGCAGTGTTTTATTTCTTTAGATTTTGTTACTCAAATAATAGGCATAAGAATAGAAACTATACTATATTTGTTCTTTGAGCTCCAAGACCAGTTTACAATACATTGTACTTAGTGTCTTATTTTTGCATGTGAGCACATGTCTGTGAAGAAATAAGGTTCACTATAAAACTGAAGGTAGTCAAATAAAGACATTTTATTTTTCTCATAGGAGCGTTATGTATTTTTCTCATGGAGTTAGACTAGGCTTGAGATAGGCTATGCTGGACTGGAGATATGCTACTGGAATCAGGCACAGCACAGCTTTGAGAAAGAATTTCAAGTGAAACATGAATATGAATAGCTCTCTTAAAGGGATAGGGATGGAGAGAGAGCACAGGGGAAAGGCACTTGCCCCACATGTGGCATCAGATGCCATATGCATCAGATGCAATCCTGGTTGGAATCTCTGGTCGCTCCTGAGTACACAGCCAGGAATAGCCTCTGGACATCACCAGATATTCTGAGACAAAACACAAAAAATATACACTGTCCTCCCGTTGTTCATCGATTTGCTTGAGCAGGCCCAGTAACATCTCCATTTTGAGACTTGTTGTTACTGTTTTGGCATATCGAATACTCATAGGTAGCTTGCCAGACTTTGCCACGTGGGTGAGATACTGTCAGTAGCTTGCCGGGCTCTCTGATAAGGGCAGAGGAATCGAACCTGGCTCAGCTGGGCTGGCTGCGTGCAAGGCAAATGCCCTACCACTGTTCTATTGCTCCAGCCCTTCTGAGATAAACCCTGCAAAAATAGGTAAAATAATATATATACATATATGAATGTGTGGGTTTATATTTATATAAACATAATATATAAACAAAATACATTTATTATAGAATATATGGGCATATACATATATATTACTCCTGGCTCTGCACTCAGGAATCACTCCTGGGAGGATTTGGGACCTGATGGGATGCCAGGGAGCGAACTTAGATTAGCAGTGTGCAAGGCAAGTGCCCTACCCAAAGTATTGCTTCTCTGGTACCCTCAAGTTATTTTGTGTACAGATTCTTCCTCAGATAAAGTATAGTAGATGTCTCATGACAGGAAATGGTGATAGGAAGTCTTCTGACAAATATTTTGAGCATTGCTTGAAAAGGAGAAAATTAGATTAATCAGATTTTTTCCCCTGGAAGGCACCATAATTAAAAAAAAAGTCAGTAACTTACAGTTCCACTTGATATTCTTCTGATATTCCTCACTGGAAATTCTAAATTATTTGATGGGGCCAGAAATAGCTACTTATGAGAAGGGACCACTTTCAGACTGTTACAATGGTCATACAGGTAAGAATCCATTGTTTCCGTGGCCGTTAATAGACTGTTGGCAATATCATGAAAGATAGAAGCTCTTCTAGAAATAAGATAGTATAACAGCAATTTCTTCCATGTATCTTTTTTTTTTTTAAGACATCATGAGGTACAGTTGTAGACTTACAAATTTTTGTGCTTGGGTTTCAATTATCACTGTCACTGTCACTGTAATTGTCCTCCCGTTGTTCATCGATTTGCTCGAGCGGGCCCAGTAACGTCTCCATCGTGAGACTTATTGTTACTGTGTTTGGCATATCAAATACATCACGGGTAGCTTGCCAGGCTCTGCCGTGCGGGCGAGATACTCTCGGTAGCTTGCCGGGCTCTCCGAGAGGGGCGGAGGAATCGAACTCAGGTCGGCCCTGTTGGCTGCGTGCAAGGCAAACGCCCTACCGCTGTGCTATCGAATACCCATCCCTCCACCAGTGTCCATTTCCAACCACCACGGATCCCAGTATCCCTCCCTCTTCCATGTATCTTTAAGAATAATCTTATTCCTATACTCTGAACCAAAAGGAACAAGGCATAATTTTCTGAGGCCCAGAGTTTGATCTTTGACACTATCAATAAATAAAGAAATTGAGGCCAGAGAGATAGTACAGGGGGTAAGGTGCTTGCCTCACATGAGTTCAGTCCCAGTTCAATTTCAGACACCACATATAGTCCGCAGAGCACTACTAGGGATGATTCCTGAGCATGGCAGGGTGAGATCCCAAACCAAAATGAATAAAGTGTAAGGTCCTGTGTGGATGAGGGAGTCTAGCCATGGGCCCAGCAGTGACTCTCGGCTTTGTTTGCAGGTGTCGGGGTGTGTGGCTGCGGTATTCTGTATGGTGGACATGGCCCTTATCTACCGGAAACTTCGACTGAACCCAAGTGGTCCTTAAGAGAAAATAAATCATGACAAATGATTAGTGCTGTGATTATACTCTCCTTTTTAGTTGATGCTATATATTAAGTGTCTTTGTTCTCACTCCTGCTTTCTGCTGCAGTTCTCATTTTCATCTCTAGAGGGGAGCTGGGGCACGTGATTTGGGAACTCCAGATTCTGTGCTCACCCAGTAATGTCACTTCCAAGAGAGCATTGCAGCTTTCACCAGGGCTGGGCTAATCCCCTTCACAGTCCTGAGAGGCCAAGATCAGTGTGCAGAGCAGCCTTGAGGGACTTAGAAGCCACCTCCTCTGGTCGGCAGCTTGGAGGTTGGGAGGGCTGCAGGGAGGTGGTGTCTGTCCCCAAGCTGAGCGGCAGTGCCACGGACCGGGTGGCACTGGGGTGCTGCATGGTCTGGTCTGAACTGCTCTGAGAATGGGATGCGCGTGAGGGGGCGGGGATCAGCAGCCGTTGGGCGGGGCGCTGGGTCAGGCGCTGTTTCCCAGGTCTGGCTGCGTCCTGAGCTCCTGCATCACCCAACTCTGGGAGCCCACCATGAATCCCCCCAGGGACGCTGTCAAACACGGTGGATTGCAGCATGCCAGGTCCAATCCAACACCCCAGGAAGCAGCCACAGCACAATCCACGCCTGCAGACACGGCTCCACCCATGCCAGCACGCACAACCAAGCCCAAGCCCACAGCCCCACAGCGCGTTGAGCCACTTGGACAGCCCCGAGTCCGTAAATCGGTATTGAAGAACATCTCAAGTTTCCTCGTCAGGCCCACAGGACTGCTGAAACTCCTCAGGATGGTGAGCAGAGAGCTGGGTGGAGCGGGTAAGCAGAAGCAGGCCTGATTCCCAGGGAACACGCCCCACCCACACCCACTGGCCCCAGGCAATTCTTTGGGCTTACTTTTCCTCCCCACCCCCATGACTCTATTACTAAACACCCTTCCCCCCCACACACACTTTCTATGGCTCAGGTTTCAGGTTTCATCTCACTAAAGGATTTGGGGGATTAATTATTATAGCAGAAATGAGTAGATGAACAATAGAACCAATAAAATTGATGAAACACCAGTTTAAATACATGATATAAGCTGTATATTTGAACGTATGCAAACCATTAGTCACTGTACTCAGGAAAAAGGAAGAAAATAAATATTTAAACTTAGAAACCTCAAAAGGAAAATAATCAAAAACTCTGAGTTCTGAATTCTGTAAAACAAGGAAATGCGAATGACTGAATGAAATGATGGTTTTATGAGGAAAATACAATTGAAGAAAAATGACCCCAGAATAGAGAAAAATCTAAATAAAACAATACAAACAACAATAAAAGAACCTACCAATATCTTTCTAAAAAAACAGGAAAACAGTTTTCAGTGTTTGGTTTTTTATTTGTGGGGGTGCTGGGCTGGAACTCAGGGTCTTATATGTAAAGTCAGTGTGACATGGAGCACAATAAAATTAAAACTAGAAGTTTTGATTGTATCAAAAGCAACAATGTTAATTCATTACCAGATAGTATTCATTAAAAATTTTGAAACTATATGAAAAAGTTCATATATATATAAGTTCTTATATATATACATTCTTCTCGAGCATAGTTCATATATATGAACTATATGAATGACAACACCATGACTATTGCACTGTACTGCACTGCACTGTCCTCCTGTTGTTCATTGATTTGCTCTAGCGGGCACCAGTAACATCTCACAACAAATTGTGAGACTTGTTGTTACTGTTTTGGCATACTGAATACGCCAGGCTTTGCCGTGAAGGTGAGATACTCTTGGTAGTTTGCTGGGCTCTCCGAGAGGGACGGAAAAATTGAGCCCAGGTCGGAACCCAGGTAGGCAAACACCCTACCCGCTGTGCTATCACTCCAGCCCATCATAACTATTAATTTCCTGTATTTACCATATTATGGTTCGCAACAGTAACTATATTATAAATTTTAAAAAGTAGAAGTAAAAGAATAATAGAAGTTTTATATTTTGGGGGAAGAAGGTAATCTTCACTTTCTAGGTCTGTAAGAATGATAGAAAAAAATTTCTTAATGACTCAAGACAGATAAACAAGAGAAAAGGACTAATTACATGTGCACAGAGACCCATACATCAACTGATGGAACCTATGGTCTGGTCATTTCAGTGAGTTTTTATGGCTTTCAGAAAGGAGGGCCAGAGAGAAAGCTCATACATTGCATCCTGAGCACATACTTTGCAAACAGGTAGTCTGGGCTTGATACCTGAGCACCAGCGGGAGTGATCCCCATAACAGAGCCAGGAGCTTGTAATATAAATGAATGAATTTTGCAGGATTATATACATGAGCATTAAAGCAGAGCTTCCAAGCACTAGTCTGAGTGATCAGGCTCACACTCACCTCCTGAACCACAGCAACGATTTATTTCCTGATCTTAGGGAGACAGATGATTAGCCAAAATATCATTCTCATTTGGATGCTTTTCAATTTCCTTCAGAAACAATAATGAGTATATTACTTCAGTGCATTCTGGGATAACCTGTACTTTTTAAATTCCCATACTTTAAAAAAAGAGTGCTAAAGACATTTGACAATATTGAACATTCATCCCTGATCTTAGAGAGAGAGAGACAGAGAGAGACAGAGAGAGACAGAGAGAGACAGAGAGAGACAGAGACAGAGGGAAACAACAAAATAGCAATACAAAGGTAATTCATTTACATTATATAAATGAATCAAAGTCAATATTATCTATAAACAACAGAATTGCCCTTAAAGTGAGGCACCAGGCCAAGGAGCCTGCCTCTCAAAGGGTTCTGCAGATGCAGGGCAGGGAGGTTGGGAATCTTTCCCTGGCACCACATGGTCCCTATGCACTGCCTGGAGCTCCAAGTACAGAGCAGGAAATAGCCCCCAAGCACTCTGGATGTCACCCAAAGATTAAATAAATTATTTTTAAAGATTTATGTAAATAAAATGAGGGACAAAAAATAAAAAGAAAAAAATAATAAGATAAAATGAGGGACAAAGAAAATGCTATCACTACTATCATTCAGTATTTCACTGGCACCATTAGTTCTCACAATCAGAATAAAGAAATAACATTTGAAAAGGGATAAAATATATAATGCACTCTTTCAGTTAATCACATGTCATATGATAATCATACATCTCCAGATCATACATAGATCTACAAAATGAAAAATCATTTGGGATACAATTTCCAAGGGAAATTTAATTAGGTGACTTATTCTTGAGTTGGGCTGGAGCGATAGCACAGCGGGTAGGGCATCTGCCTTGCATGAGGCCGACACAGCCGACCCGAGTTTGATTCCTCTGCCCCTCTCAGAGAGCCTGGCAAAGCTACTGAGAAGATCTCATCCGTGGCAAAGCTTGGCAAGCTACCATGAGGTATTCGATATGCCAAACATAGTAACAAGTAACAAGTCTCACAATGTTACTGGGCCCACTCGAGCAAATTGATGAACAACAGAGACAAGACAGTGATTCTTGAGTTAAATAAATTAAAAATTTTCTTATCATTAAGCAAGCATTTAGAATAGAAGAAATTTCTCCTTAGTCATCAAAATAATAAAATATCTAAGATTAAGTAAAATATATTAGAAAGATCTGTATGCAAAAAACACCAGTATTCTACTGGGAGATACTTATAAAAACACTAGAGGGGGCTGGAGCGATAGCATAGCGGGTAGGGAGTTTTTCTTGCACGCGGCTGACCCTGGTTTGATTCCCAGCATCCCATATGGTCCCCTGAGCACCACCAGTAATTCCTGAATGCAGAACCAGGAGTAACCCTTGTGCGTTGCTGGTGTGACCCAAAAAGAAAACAACAGCAACAACAACAACAAAAACACTAGAAAGGAAACCAGGAGACAGCTCAAAGGACAAGCACCTGCTTGGCACTGCAGGAGGCCCAGGGTTGATCCCCACCATACTCTCTCAGCATGGAAGCAGCTGACCTCCCCTTCAGCACCACAGCACTGAGCTGGGCGTAATCCCTGATAACCACTGGTGTTACCCAAACACGACATAAATATTCATTAGAAATCAAGGGAAGACACACTTTCTTCTTGAGTTTTAGTGCCCAAAGGCACCAACAACAGATGCTTTACTTGTGACAATTAAAATGAAATTTTTTTTCACTTTAATTGTCACACTTTTTTTTATTCTCCACCAAGAATAATGTACAGTTGCAAATATTTATAAACTGTATCACTGTCTTCCTTTTGTTCCTCCACTGCCTCAAGCAGGCCCCAGTAACGTCTCCATCCTAGCCCTGAGATTTTAAAAAGTGCCACATTAAAACTGGAAGAAACCTGAATGCCCAAGAACAGATGACTGGTTAAAGAAACTTTGGTACATCTACACAATGGAGTACTATGTAGCTCTTAGAAAAGATGAAGTCATGAAATTTACATACAAGTGGTACAATATGGAAAGTATCATGCTAAGCGAAATGAGTCAGAAAGAGAGGGATAGACATAGAAAGATTGCATTCATCTGGGGGATATAAAGTAACAAAGTATGAGATTAATACCCAAGAATAGCTGAGATCAGCACCAGGAGGATTACTCCATAACTTAGAGGCCAGTTGGGTATCCTAGAGGAAAGGGCAGTTCAGATAGAGAAGGGAGCACCAAATAAAGGATGTTTGGAGGATCCTCCCAGGAGGGGAGATGCATGTCGAACGTAGACTATGGACTGAACATGTTTGCCACTCAATACCTCTTTTGCAGACCACAACACCCAAAAGGAGAGAGAGAACACAGGGGATTGCCCTGCCACAGAGACAGGGGGGATGGGGGGATGGGGGTGGGAGGAATATTATCCATGGTGGTGGAAAATGGGCACTGGTGGAGGGATGGGTATCTGATCATTGTATAATTGAAACCAAAGCACAAAAAATTGTAAATCTACAACTTAAAAAAAAAAATAAAATAAAGGGAAAAAAAAAGTGCCACATTAGAGGCTCTTTCAGGGTCAGGAGAATGAGACCCATCATTGTTACTGGTTTTGGGCACATTGAATACGCCACGGGGAGTTTGCCAGACTCTGCTGTGTGGGCAGGATACTTTTGGTAGCCT